TCTTCAGTGGCCTTGTTAGTAGACTGGACACAGCTAAGGAGAGAATCAAAGAACTTGAAGATAAGCAAGAGAAATTAACCCAATTGAAACAAAAGAGGCAAAAAGAGTAGGGAAAGAAAAACCAAACAGAGCACCAAGAGCTGGGGCGGGGCAACATCAGCCAGTTTAACACATGCATTCGGAGTCCCAGAAGGACGTGTTTACGGGAAGAGGAATCTAGCAAGCAGGTACTTCCCCCCGAGGGAAAGCCATGTGGTTAAAAAATAGCCATAAGTAGTTATTGCTTTGCTCCCCAGCTTCTAATTTAGCTGAAGCATTTACTCTTAAATTCTCCCACTTCCTTCTTGCTTATCTTCTACTCCTTGTTATTTGAGGGAAGAAATATGTGATTTATCCCCACCCCATCCTCTTCCAGAGCTCTCTGCTGTTTGGCATCAACAGCAGTGGCTGTGAATGATGGTGAGATAGGGTAGCTTTTAGCAACCAACTTAAATTTGAGTTTTCTAACATAAAACACATGATTCCCTGTTTTGAAGAGGTGGTAAATTACAGTTCATCTCTGTCTCTAGTTACAGCTAAGAATGAATAGCTCACACGATTTGCACTCCTCTTCCCCCTTCTCATTTGAGCAATAAAAAAATCTGCTTAACCACGTGTACTCACCATCAAATTGGTATTAACTGATCAACACATAAATGCACATATAAGAATAACATCTATTGGATGTTGGGCAGGGGGAAGGGGGGAGGAGGGAGGAGGGGACGGGTATATGCATACACAAAGAGTGCAGTGCGCACCACCCGAAGGACGGACATATTTGAAACTCAGACTTGGGGGGGGAAGGGCAACATACGTAACCTAAACATCTGTACCCCCATAATATGCTGAAATAAAAAAAATAATGAAAAAAAGTCTGCTTAAAGAAAAAGTAAGTATTAAATATGGTACTTACCCTCAGAACTCTCTTTTTTGGTTATTGGAAGTAGTCTCCTGCGTGGACTGTCGTGCACACAGTAAGCTGATTGTACGAGCTCCTTAGCGCGAATGTGCAAGAGATCAGTTTCCAGGCATTCAGCAGTCCCAGCGCCAGACGGAGGTGACTCGTAGCTGCTGCCTGGCCATGCACTGAGTGAGCCCAGTTGCTGGGGAAGACTTGCTGCTGGGGGTCTGGATGCTTGTGCACCTCTTGTGTTCAGATGTTTCGTGAAGGGAGGAAGAGAGCACTCGGTGAGAAGGGATCGAGCGTATTTTAGCTTACGGGTTTAGAACCTAAACTCAGACCCGGCTTCTCATCTTGCTGCTATTAATGAACTTGCAACCCTGGCTTTGTGCACGCTGCTCTGTGGAGCTTTCTGGACCTTCTTGACAGAGCGACTCCCTTCTCCTCTGTGCTGCTTCTAGTCTTATACATGCCATTTTGGGCATTTTCCACATGACTTTGCATTTATTTTTTATGCATCGGTTTTCCCTGCGAAACTGAATTCTTCAAGGGAAAGGATTTATGTTTTATTCATTTCTAGCACAGAATAGGTTCTCAATAAATGTTTATTGAATTGGATTAAGTAACTGCACAGCGTTAGGTGGCAGCAGTGTCGGTAACTGCAGTCGAGACCAGTGTTTGTGATGGTCCTTTCCATGTGCAATTTCGTTACACGTTAAATCCCCGTGCCGCCTTGCATACCTCTGATGGGCTGTGCTGATGGCTTGATTCGGTGGCTCTGAACAGTGGGTTCAGATCATCACAGTAATAGACTTGGAAGTTACTTAGGGTGACTATATTGAAAACAAATTAAAAATAAAGTGAGAAAAAAGCCTTTAAATCATGAAGAAGAAAGAGATCGTTGAACGAGGATCTGGGTGGAGGGCAAGAGAAACTGAGCCATGCAGGTCTGTTCAGATGGCCCCTTTGAAGATCCTTCCCTTCTGCCCGGGGTGCAGCTTTGAGAGGAAGGCCTGGGGCTCAGGGGGGTAGACAAGGGGCTTTCTGTGGACCAGGGCGGTGAGTAAGACCCTGGAGATCAATTGCAGAGGTCACGAACAGACCCAGGTGAATGGTTCTCCTTAGTGAGCCTCAGCTCTAAGCTTCCTGGTAATCAAAAAAGGGAAACCATGTTTTCATTATCTGATAAAAAGAAACACACTAGTTCCTAGGGGGGAAAACCAAACCTTTCTTTCCTGGGAAATCCTCGTTGGCTCTGTGTGTCTGAGCCCTAAAAGGGCTGTGTGAGCTCAGCTAAGCACTTTCCTCCGCTGGAGATGAAGGGGCAGACTCAGGGCTCTCTGTATCCCGCTGAGTCTAGCATTCTCTGGCCAGTGTATCTCAGCCCCTCTGGACTGAGATCCTGACGCGGCTCCAGAGAGCAGGGACCAGCCACCCCGAGCATTAGTAGTGAACTTTAGCTGTTTTCCTTCCAGGCTTGCCGGTGTTCCGGGGTCAGCGAATGCTCATCAGAGTGACTTGCTGCCCAAGCAAGCGCTAAACCCCTGCCAGCACCACGGCCGGTCTGCGCTGGCTGCTGCCACTGCTGGGAGGCCGTCTCCCACGGTGTGCAGCCTACAGCAGCTGCTAAGCCTGTCCTGCAAAGCACACAATGCCCAATTCCCTTTCAGCACTGGGAACCTTCTAGATGAGGCGGCGGCTGGGTCTGAAGAGGGGCTTGCAGAGGCTCTGTGTGCACCCTGACCAAGACAGCTGGGCCCTGGGGGGGGCAGGGACCCCTCCCATGCACAGCCACCCCAGGGAGGCCGTTCCAGATGCAAAGCTGCGAGGAGTGATTCCAGCTCCCAGCCAGCACCAGTCACTTGACAAATAGCTTCCAGTGACTTTGTGTTTTGCAGATTGAGTTGACAGGAATTGGTTTCTGTCTGCCTGTGCTCTTCCCAACCCCAGGTTCCTATTCCCACAGAACTTCTCCCTTTCTGTTACTGAAACTGGCTCTGACCTATCTTTGATCTGATCAACTCCTTCACACTGGGGTGTGAGGAATTCACACAGCCTGGGATCTTACAGTGAATGGTGTGCAAAACCTGCAAGAGGAGGAAATCTAAAGGCAGTTTTCAGATATCTGCAGGAGGAAATATTTGGTGGACGCTCCCCACCCCCAAGGCTGGCTGTGCCCACAGGCAAAGATGTGGCCAGCTGCACAGCCTGACCTCAATAGGAGATAGGCAAAATCACCTTTGCAGCCCCTCTCTCTGCTCTGACACCCAGGGCACCTGTCATACTTGCCCTGTCCAGTCCTCTACATAAAGGGACTCTGTACACCTTCCAGGTGAATCTTCTCTGCTGGTTATAGCAAAGCAATAGGGCTGATCTGTTAATGGGTTAATGCCTGACCACTCCCAGGTACAGTATTTGTGTTTTAGCAGGAATCTCCTGAAAGTGATGCCCTGACACAAAGGGAGAGTTGGAATTTCAGGAACCCAGGGTGGGGCTGTGGAGATCCTTGTGGGGGGTTAGCCAGGGACCCCCTTATTACACCCACAGCTGCCAGGCCCCTGCAGCTTGGTGGTGAGGGTCTTTGTGATTATGAAGAGTCTGCAGTGGCTCCGGAGCCCCCTCTGGAAAGGAATGTGCTGGAACAGAGTTGATCAAAATGCGAGGAGTGGGAGGGGAGGAGAGAATGCTGGCAGGGAATGAGAACAGGAACAAAACAAAAAAGCAGGGGACAGAGGTTGCTCACTGAGTAAAACCGTTTTCTGCGCGGACCCTAGATCTCATCCACTGGAACTGAGAGTCCGTTCCTTCATGTTGTTGGAATTATTGATGGCTCTCGGTAGCACTCCTTGATGTCAGCTTTTGCCAGAAGGTTTCAAGACCTTTAAGTGCAAGGATCAGAAGACCGGGAAGCGTGAGACTGATTAAAACTTGAGCTTGGCTGCTTTCCACAGAGCACAGTTGTGGCTTCACCAGATGTGGCTGGAACCTTAATTGCTTAAACTTCAACAGGTTATGCTATCGTGGGCAGATGGACATGGAAAATGTATTTTGTTTTCTTTTATTTTACCTAAAACTTAACTGCCAGGCAGGTGTCTTTCATCACATTTGAAACGGCGGGAGAGCAAAGGGGCTATTTGAATACTGATTTTTCTTACTGTCACCCAGGCTGGAGTGCAGTGGTGTGATCATAGCTCACTGTGGCATCTACTTCTGGGTTCAAGCAATCCTCCTGCCTTGGCCTCCTGAGTAGCTGGGACTACAGATACGCACCACCACGCCTGGCTAATTAGAAAAAAATTTTTTTTTGTAGAGATCCTCATCAACTCTATGTTGCCCAGGCTGGTCTCAATCTCCTGGGCTCAAGTGATCCTCTCGCCTCGGCCTCTCAAAGTGCTGGGATTACAGGCATGAGCCACCGCGCCCAGCCTTAATACTGGTTTTTTTCTATTGGGGAAATCTTACAGCTGGGTAGTTGGTGGTATTCAGTTCCCATATGACCTTATGTCAAAATTTATCATCTCACTAAATATGTCATCTCAACAAATGTTGAGGATGCACTGGTATCACCTCTTTGCTTTTTCTGGTCTCCGCTGTGAAAGTTAACCAGGGGGTTGAAGCTCTTCCATTCAATTAAGTGGAAAGCCTAAACCCCAGCCAAGACCTGAATTTCAAGGGCACCCATGGATTTTATGAGCGCTACCCACACGTAATTCATACGCGGGGGGTGGAGGCCCTGTCCCCACCCTTTCTTTCTTTCCCTGCTCTCCCGCGACCTGTCGCCTCCACACCAGGCGCTCAGGGAGGCTGGGTGGTCCTGGGCTGCGCCTGTTCCAGCCCCGCGGAGTCCCGCTCCTCCTTCCGGTGCTGCACACTCCTGGGCTGGGCAGGGGCCTCGGCGGGCCCGGCTAGCCACGCCCCTCCCGCCTCCCGGCCACGCCCCTCCCGCCTACCAGCCAGGCCCTTCCCGCCTACTAACCACGCCCTCACTAACCACGCCCTCCCGCCTACTGACCACGCCCGCGCCTGCTAACCACGCCCCCCGCCTCTCTGCTCGTTACAGAATGGCTTGAACGGCTTGCATCTGGCCTCTAAAGAAGGCCACGTGAAAATGGTGGTTGAACTTCTGCACAAAGAAATCATTCTAGAAACGACAACCAAGGTATGTCTCACAGGGGAGGGGGGAGCTTTTCATTGAAACTTCAGGTGTGCGGGTCCCTCCTGTGTTGCCCCAGACCCTGGTGCAGAAACCAGCCCTTCAGGAGAGACCCCCGCGCATCTGGATTTCTCTCGCCCTTCCAAGCGCTTCCTAGTTCTCTGAGGCCCTGACGCCGCCTGAAAACACGGGACCCTGTTTCCAGGACTCAGTGGGCCTTTATTTTATCTTCATCATTAGATGATAACTCTAAGCATATAATCCTTTTCCAGGTGGCTTCATGCTTTCCAAGGGTCCGTAAGTCTAATACGGGGGCCAGAGCCCTGGAAGCGCCACAGTCAGGTGCCTGGAGTTGCAGATCCAGCAGACATACTTCGTACTCTGTGCCCGCAGACAAGTCACTCAGCCACTGCGAAGCCTCAGTGTCCTCATCTGTGAGATGGGGATTATAGTGCTTAGTTGCAGGAATGATGTGAGAACTAAGCGAGATGGTATACACAAAGTGCCCAGCATACGGGCGGGAAGGAATGCATACCCGTCACTGTGTTGTTGTTGAGGGTTGTAGGAGAGTCCGCATCCCTCTCATTTCTCCTGCTCCAGCGAGTCTCGGCCCCAAATATTTCCAGTCCCTACTAATGACCTGGGACGGCCTCTCTCTCATGAGGAGGCCTTTGGCGTGGGCGGGCGTGAGGTTCCACGGCAATGCATTTCTCCCCATTTCGGTACATGATACGCTCATGACTTATGTTCAGAAATCCCAGCATCATGAAATTGATGTATCTATAGATCGCAAAGTAAGTTTTATTTCTTACTTATATGCATCTTATTTATCAAACAGGATGAAGCCAGCATTTAAAAACCAAACTAAAAAAAATCATCTCCATTTACTGACTCAAATACTGTTTCCTCCATTCTCATTTTCTCTCCTCTCTCCTGTTACTTTCCTGGGTTTTCCTTCCAGAGCTTTTCCTCCCAGCCTCTTATTTTTCACTTGTTGTTTGTTAAACGTGGTCTCACGCTCAGCTCAGGTTCCGTTCCACGCAGCAAACGTTTTGCTGCCTCTCAAGCCGAGAACATAGGAGAACAATATGTAGAGAGCAGATAGAATTTATGGTTATGAAGCGAACTACCAAATATTATGAAGGCAGAATCATCTCTGGAGGTGAAATTCTGTAATTTTCATGTCATTTCCCGAATGTGAAGAGATCTAGATTCTAGATCTGGAAATGAGAACCAAGGCATGTCTCACGGGGAAGCCGGGCCACGGGGGGGTGCAATACACTGAGTTGCTCTTTCTCACTGTATATGGGGCATTTTTTCCCTGACTCATGGCAAATACCGATTGTTTCCACCCTGCTTCGTCTGTGGAGGAAGGGATGCAGTTATTCTTCCCTGGATGCTCTGGCGTACCTGGCTGCGAGCACCGTGCCATCTGACTCGCTCTGCGTGGGCCAGAGCGGCTCCCCGCCCCCGCTGGCGTGCCCCCAGGAGCTGCGGAAACATGAGGCTTCAGCACTTTCACTCTTTCCGAGTTTCCTTCTTTGATTGTTATTTTGCAAGTGAACACTTGGCGCTTCTTTTTTATTTTTAGAAATTTTATAAGCCAACGTGGTTTTGGAATGCCACACGGAGAGAGAAAAAAAAAGGTGGAACTGAAACCGTGGGCTGAGGAAGAGTCATAACAGATTGGGGAATTGTGACGGGCCCTCCCAAGCAGGAGAAAGACTAAAATAAAAAAGAGTAGCAAGCCAAAAACCAATATAGGTTCCTAAACTGTACTTAGAAATTTTAAGAGCATAAAATAAACGTGTAAAATGATCTCCCCCATCCTCCCAGCTCCACCCCTTGAGCCGGAGCTGTTGATGAGCAGAGAAGGCCTTCCCCTCCCTTGCAGAAAGCCTCGGTCCTCGCCCTCCCCTCCGCTTGCGTTCACTCAGCACCTGTGCAACCATCCTCCCTTCCGTGAGCTTCATGAGTTTCTGAAAATGAAGAAATTAGGTATTTGTGGATCAAAATGTAGCTGAGTAATTTTTGCTCCTTTATGCTGGGGGAGGGGCAGGGAAAACAGAGGCTCACGGCCTCTTTCCCTGGGGCTCCCAGACCCAGGGCCAGGGGCCGCCTTATCGAGCCTGGCAATGCGTGTCTGCAGGTGGCGGGGAAAGGAGGGGGGACTTCCCAGGGTCTCCCCGGGATCTTATTCCTCGACAGTGCCACCCTCCGCCCAGATGGCCTGAACAGAGTTCCACGTCTAACCAGCTTCCCACATCAGAGGGGGCCATCCCCTCCTCGTGGGTGTAAGGAAAGCTCCGATATTTGATTTCAGACAGGAGGGGTCAGATGGAAAGAAATATTTAATGTAAGCCTCTTGTGGTCGAGGGACCTGAGTCTCAGTGGCCCCTGACCTCTGTGGGCCAAGCCTGGCACGCGCATGCCCGGTAAGTGTGCTCCAGCGAATGAATGGGCTCAGCGTGCCTCGTCCTCCCCCGTGGGAGACAGGGGCGCTCCCCTTGGAGCTCTCAGTCCTGGTTTCTAGAGAAGTTCTGGTGCCCACAGCCCTGCTCCACTTGGTACAGCAGGTGCCAGAGCCTCTAAGTGTAGGCTCTTGGGACTCTGTGGACCGTCGTTAATTAGCTTCCATGCTTTCCCATCTGGCGTTCATTCTCTGGTGGGTATTTGAGCAAGAATCCTTTTGTTCATCAAACGGGACTTCAGGAGAAATCCAGAGATGACTTCGGGAGGCAGCAGACAGGAAGTGCCCGCCTGATGTAGGCTTTAATACTTGAATGACCAAACGAAGTGCAAGCAACAGAAATAAAGACCTGAGCTGCTTCCGGCGACGAGTGCCCTTGTGGGGCTGCCCTCCACTGCGTCGGGCGGTGCTGGCGGGGGCAGCTGCAGGGCTGGGGCCTCAGTCCCGCCTCCTGAGGAAGCTTCCTTCCAGGTGACAGGTGGGCGCAGGCTGGGTCTGAAGTCCCTGCTTGTCAGGTCTCCAGTTTCCTGAAATGGACCAGTCAGTGTTCATGTAGTTAGTAAAACACAGCATATGGTTTGAACTATAAAAATGGGGCCGTTTGAGATCTTGGCCCCCTAAGTAGCGCAGTGACAGATGGTCGAGTGAGGTCCCCTTTCATCCCCTCGCCCTAGTGGCAGAAGTGTCCCATGGAGCCTGTCCCTCTGGCTCCCTGAATGGGGGTGTCCGTGGGGGCCCCAGGATGCCCAGGGGACTGGGAGGCCGTCTGCGTCCCGGGAGCTGGTCCTGAGCCTCATCTGTGAATTGTCAAACCAGGATGAATCCAGACTAGAAGACCTGACGTTAGACTCCCGTCCTCGGAACTGCCTCGGTTCTTGTTTTCTTGATGGTTCCTGCCTTGTGCAAAGTTGAAAACAGTCGTGTGCCTCATCTCCTTCCAGCGTTTATTCTCTCTGGCTTTCCTCTCTTCTCCTACTTGCTGAAACTTGCTCGTTGTATTTTACTTACTAATATTTTGAATATTCTTTTTTTTTGTATTTTCCTCGATTTTATTCTGTTTATAATGTTTCCCCCCATTTATTTTTATTTTATTTCTTCCTTTCCTTTCCTTTCCTTTCCTTTCAGACAGAGTCTTGCTCTGTCACCCGGGGTAGCATGCAGTGGCGTCATCATAGCTCACCGCAGCCTCCAGCTCCTGGGCTCAAGCGATCCTCCTGCCTCCTCCGCCTCCCGAGCGGCTGGGCCCACAGGCGCCCGTCACGACCGGCACTGTTTCCGTGTTTTTCTTCTCCACATACATCATGGAATCCATCTCACCTTTCCTTTTCCATGTGATGCTCTGTTCACCCTCCTGCCTCTTCCCTCTGTCTGCCGGGCCCGCAGCCTGCGGTGTGTGCTGCTGCGTCAAGGCGCTGAGCCTGAGGCCTGTGCCAGCCTCCTGCCCCCAGAGCGCCCAGGCCTGGCCGAGGGCTCGGCGCTGCCCCGCAGACTCACAGGTTGAGAAGAGCAGGCATGTCCTGAGCGACGCAGAGTCTGCACCGTGTGGGGCATATTCGGTGTGAGAAGTGTGTGTGTGTGTGTGGGTGTGTCTTCTTTCAGCGTTGTTTTTTATGGAGAGCAAGAAGAATTTTCCCCCTTGTACTTCGACTTCTCTTTCAAGGTGTGCGCCGCATCAAGCACACGCGTGTCCTCTACCCCTTGTGGCCATAAGGAAAGCCCACTGGGCCCCCAACCAGCGCCTGTGCACAGACCGCCGATGGTCACACATGCAGGCCCAGTGGGAAACCGCTTCTGTTCCCCCGTCCCCCGTGTGTTGCAGAAAGGGAACACGGCTCTGCACATCGCCGCGCTGGCAGGGCAGGATGAGGTGGTCCGGGAGCTGGTCAACTATGGCGCCAACGTCAACGCCCAGTCGCAGGTAGTGGCGCTCTGCCCTCGGCCTGGCGGGCGTCGCCTCTCTTCTTCGCTCAGCCCCTCTTCCCTGCTCCGTGGTGAGGTGTCGGCCGCCGTGTTGACGCACGGGCTGAGTAGCGGAGCCTAGATTTGTTGGCAGCGTGTCTCCGGGGGGCAAAGGCATCTGTCACAGATTGTTCATGGTCAGACCACACGTGCTGAGGATGGGCTGGGGCGGGCGTGGACCCCACCTCTGCTCAGTGAACCGGCCAGGTCGCGTATTTAGTGGTGGCTCGCGCAGAGACACTGGGGGGCAGGGAGCGAGGCACGTGGGCCGGGGGTGGGTAGAGGCGGGTGTGCAGGCCGGAGGCCAGGCACAGGCTCCGTGGACAGTTGTGCACACCCTGTGGCTTTCGTAATATCGCACTATGCCAGTTCAAAGTGACAGCGAGCTGTCTGCGGTGGGGATGCAGGGGGGGCATTGCCCCGGGGCAGGAGAGAATAGGGTGAGGAGAGCTGTCCTCGAGTTCGGGGATCCGTGCTCATGGCAGCGTTGCTCCCCGCCGTGCGCGGATTCCGACCCTGCTTCTCGGCTTTGCAGAAAGGCTTCACCCCCCTGTACATGGCAGCGCAGGAGAACCACTTGGAAGTGGTGAAGTTTTTACTGGAGAATGGAGCCAACCAGAACGTAGCCACGGAAGTAAGCACCTCGGGAAAACGTCCTCACTGCCGCGGTCTCTGGGTGTGGGACATCTCGCCAAGCCGTACCTTCCTGGGACGTGGCTTGAGGGGCATGCGGTGCCTGGTCCCTGCAAAGTGTTGCTGAGTGCTCCCGTCCTCCGTTCACTGCGCTGACCCCGGGAGCTGCCAGGTTCTGCGGGGAGTGCGAGAGCAAGTCTGTCTCGAGGCGTGCCCCGACGTGTGCCTGGGAGTGGCGGCAGGCTCGAGGGTGGCGTTCCCACTGCACCCCAGCTCACGGCTGGTCGGCCTGGGTGGGCTGACGCGGGGCTGGCGTGGGAACCAGCCTTGGCCTTGGTGGGCGGGGCTCTTGCCAGGAGCCCACTGTGCACCTGGACGAGTCCCGTTGGCTGAGATCCTGAGTCCGGTCATTGGTGAAATGACAGAGCTAAGGCCGCTCTTAACTCTGAGGGTGTTCAGCAGTGGCATGATTGTTATCAGGCCGCTTGCCCGGGTCACGGGGTCCTGTGCCCCTCGGCACACAAACGAGGGCGTCAGTAATAGTAGCTCACGGTCGAATCCTCGTGGCCGGCGTGGATGCCAGCATCTGGGAGGTGCGCAGTGGCATTCTGCACGTTCAAGGCAGCGTGCTGGCACCGGCAGATGGGGTGGGAGGGAGGCAGGCAGAGACTCGCAGTGGGGAATTTCTCAGCCCTCGCACAAGCAGGGAACACGTTATGAAGGAAAGTTAAACGAGTGCTGAGGAACGGTGACCGTGGGCTCTGAGAGTGCCAGACAGGGAGTGGGGCCCAGGAAGGCTTCAGGGAGGAGGCACCTTCACGCGGGCGTGGGGGACGAAGGGACTCAAAGAGCAGAAGTCAGAGGGGGGCCCTGTCTCGAGGACAGTGCGTGGCCACGTGGAGTCAGAGCAAAGCCACCTCTCCTCCCCCCAGGACGGCTTCACACCCCTCGCCGTGGCACTGCAGCAGGGCCACGAGAACGTGGTGGCTCACCTCATCAACTATGGGACGAAGGGCAAGGTGCGCCTGCCGGCCCTGCACATCGCGGCCCGCAACGACGACACCCGGACGGCCGCGGTGCTTCTGCAGAACGACCCCAACCCCGACGTGCTTTCCAAGGTGAGGGTGGCCGGACCTGGGGCCTGAAGGCCACAGGGGCACCCTCGTGCCCAGTAGTTTCCCAGGAATGAGCCCAGACCGTGGCTGGCCCAGCTGTGCGCACGAGCATCCGCTCCCGGAATGTGGAGGGCCCAGGTGCACGGCCCCACCCTCGATCCCTGGGGACGCCGGGGAGCCTGTTCCGGGCGTGGCGCAGGGCTGGCTCTTGTTGCTCCAGGCCACCCAGGAAAGTGTCCAGGCCGGGCAGGTCAGGTCTTGAAAATGGCCTGAGGTTCCGGAATGGAGCGAGGACCCTGGGCCTGCCGGGGGTCAGAGCATGCCTTGGGCCAGCGGAGTCGCCAGACGTGTCAGGAAGGATCACTGAAACAGTCGCGAGAGTTAGGGCTGTGGACCCGGTGACGATTTCTGTTTGGGAATCGAACTCCCCGTCAGTGAGCATTCAGCGCATGGCCCCGTAGTCTGAGGTGCCCTGGTCTGTGGTTTGTCCCTGTGCGCATGCAGTCAGGGTGCTCCGAGCGTAACTCGCTGCAGAGCATCTCTCGGCCCTTGAGAAAAGTTCCCGCCTGTCGAAGCCTACTTTATGCACAGGGTCCTCTGACCCCCACTTTCCAGCGTCCCGGCTGACTCAGGTAGGAATGGCGGTAAATGGCCCCTGACGGTTTCTTCCCTCTGTTTGCCCTAGACGGGATTCACCCCCCTGCACATCGCAGCTCACTACGAGAACCTCAGCGTGGCCCAGCTGCTCCTCAACAGGGGGGCCAGCGTCAACTTCACACCACAGGTGACCTCTCTGGCAGGTGCTCTCACTGTCTGGGGTTGGGGCTGGTGGAACCCAGGCGCTGCTGCCCCTCGCTTTGGCACCGTGGGTTCATCTGGCGCAGAGACGCCCGTGGGCCAGCCTGCCGCTGTCTAACAGGCTCTGGTCACCGCCCCTCAGTTCCCACCTTTTGTCTCGAGAAGACTCGAAAGCCCATTCACCCCTTCTCGAGGTGGGACTCCTGGAGGGCGGGGGGATGATTTCCTTTGTCCATCGTGCTGACCCGGGGAGGCGTGGGCTTGGCTGGCCTTGCTGGCAGGTCTTCACGGCTTTCAGAGTCTTTCGTAGGCCAGAAATCCCTAATAGTGAGCTAAAGAGGCTGCTTGTGCTGTTGCCATTGGCGGGCTGCGGGCCGGGGACGCGGCGTGGTGGGGAGCGGGGTGCGCAGCAGCTGAATCCAAGGGCTGGATGCCGTGCCCTGACCGTTCCCTGCTTCCTCCCCTCCAGAACGGCATCACGCCACTGCACATTGCCTCCCGCAGGGGGAACGCAATCATGGTGCGGCTCCTGCTGGACCGGGGAGCCCAGATAGAAACAAGGACCAAGGTGGGTGCCGGCAGCAGGCCTGGGAGGGAATTCTGCCCTCGGGAGCCTCCTGGAGCAGCCCACAGCCCAGCTGGGGTCATCGTGAAACTGTGCTTAGGGAAACCTCAGCACTTCTGCGGCCAGGAAGGATGCTGCAGGCACTCTTCTCGCCACCCGGCCTCTGACAGCATTTTCTTTTTCTTTTGTTTGTGACTCTGTCTTTTAAAGGATGAATTGACACCTCTCCACTGTGCAGCTCGGAATGGGCACGTGCGAATCTCAGAGATCCTGTTGGACCACGGGGCACCCATCCAAGCCAAAACCAAGGTGAGGAGTGTGCTCTTTCCTGTGTGCGGCGTCTCTTAGGCAGGGCTCCAGGTCAGACAGAGGGACAAATCCCATTTATGCGGGGTAGAGGCGCTGATACCACCCAGTGAAACAGTGCATGTGACAGTCACTGCAGGCCTGTCCCACCGGAGACACTCATTATAGTTCTGGATCAGAGTCAGCACATTTTCACATAAAGGTATTAAATATTTTTAGGCTTAGCAGGCCAGGGCCTCTGATGCAATGATTCAGCCCTGCCGATGTAGCAGAAAGCAGCCGTAAGCAGGCGTAGGCAATATGCAAACTAGGGGCTGTGTTCCAATAAAACTTTATTTACAAACACAGAGGGCAGGCCAGATTTGGCCCACGGGGTGCAGTTCGCCTACTGTTGCTCTAGATCAATCCCCATCTCTTTCATCCTAGCTCCAGAAAAGATAGCAACGGAGTACTTGGAGGTCCTCGGGCTGGGCCAGAGTGAAGTTAAGAAAACAAAACAGTTCTTCTCAGGTTCCACTAGAGATCAGAGCAAAGGCCTATCCCTTAGTTCTAGTGTGAGGGCTAAAGCTGTCGGCCACACAGTGCTGCCTGTACCTTCTCCAGGCCTTCGGCCTGTGAGTTTAGAAGGTGTGTTGAAGCAGAACAAGGCAGAATCCAGGCCTGTTCACAGCCACTCAGTTTCCGTGGCTGATTTGCTGTGTGACGTTGGGCATGTCTCTCACCCTCTTTGTGCTTCAGTTTCCCATCCCGAGGGCTCCAGCCCTCTCTCCTAGGATTGTTGGGACAATCCCATGAGATAAAGTCTTCAAAAGACATATAAACATAAAAATCCTCAGAGAAACAAAAGTAGAATTGCTACTACCAGTTATATTATTAGGTCAGGAAATTCTCAACATTTTTCCATAGAAGCCCTGTATTTAAACTTATATAAACACTCATGTAAGTTATTAAAGATTTTTTATCATGCAGGTTATTAGAATGGGGCTAAAAAGGGTGTTTATGAAAATTCTTTACTGAGAATTGCTGATTTTTCAGTTGGGAACCATGGTCCGACCTTTCTCAACTGCAGTAAGTGTAACTAACTGTGTCCGCTCGGGCTGCCATAGCCAAGAGCCAGGCACCGGCGCTCAGACCACAGAAATGTATCGAGTCACGGTTGCGGAGGCCGAGCTCTGAGGCCGGCGTGTCCGGAGGGTCGGGTCTTTTGAGGCTGTGAGAGAGCATCTGTTCCAGGGCCGCCCCGGCTCCTGGCCTGCCATCACGAGTGGCTTGTAGCAGCATCACCCCAATCTCTGCCTTCGTCTTCCAAGTGGCACTTTCCCTCCGTGTGTGTGTCTGTGTCCAGATTTCCCGTTTCTGAGGATGCCAGTTGCATTAGGACCCACGCTGGTGACCCCACTTTAGCTCATTACAGCTGCAAAGACCCTATTTCCAAATAAGGTCACATCCTCAGTTCCTGGGGGTTGGGTCTTGAACACGTGCATTTGCAGGGAGACACAACTGGACCTGGCTGTCCTCCCCCCTTGCTGAAAATCCTCTTTCTAAAAGTGGCAGTTCCAGGCCCTCGGCTCCCGCCTCCTCTTCAGCCCGGCCCTGTGCTCCTGGCTCCGTGCGCTTCGCGCTCCTGCCTGGTCACCTGCGTGGAGGTCCCTGAACTGCCCTGGGGGAGCTGCCTCAGAGCTGCACCCTCTGCTGGGGGACTCTTCCTGGTGAACTCATTCACCTCCTGTCAGGTCCTAGCTCAGGGGCCACCTCCTCCAGGAAGCCGCTTCTCCTTCCTCGGGAACTCCGTTGTCTGCGCGCTTCCGTGCCTTGGTCAACCCGCGCCCCTCACAGCGTCGGCTGGCAGCGGCGTGTCTGGCTCTGAGCTTCCTCAGGCCAGCGGTTACATCTGTTCCCTTCTCTTTCCCCAGAGCTTAACCCGGCCCATCGCTGCGTATTTGTTGACTTAATGTCTGAATGAATGAATGAGCCTCCTCAGTTTTTAATGTTTTTAAAATAAACTGCTGTCAGGAAAACTGAGAATCCTTAACAGAATTTTATTTTTTTTAAACTCAAGTGCATTTGTTAGGGGCAAAGCACAGAGGATTTGGCTGCAAGGTCTATTTTATCGTCATTCATTCAGTCAACATCACATAGTTAAGGGCCACCATGGGCGTTACCTGCTCGTACTGGGCACTGCGGGGCGTTCAAGAAATACCGGGCACAGTCACTGATCTTAAGGAGCACGTGCGCTCCGAGAAGAGAGACGCACCCTGAAAGGCTGGCTCCGAACCTGACTCAGCAAACTGAGAGTGGGGTCTGGCGCAGGGTCCGCGTGAGGAGAGCCTGCAGGAGTCGCGGGTGGTCGGGGCAGCCTCCTAGAAGAGCTTGACCTGTTGAGCGTGGCTTTGAGGTTTGGCCAGGGGAAAGGAGGGCGTGTGCGGTCGGAGACCAGCAGGAGCGTGGAGGCCATTGTGAACCAAGCCCCCTCCCACACCACATGGACGCATCTGCAGGGGAGAAGTGGGGCGTGACCCTGGAATCATTGTCCCGAATCTCCATGCTGTGTCCCCAGAAGGCTCTGTGATTGCTTGTGTTTTCCTCTTGACCTAGAACGGCCTGTCCCCAATCCACATGGCGGCTCAGGGAGACCACCTCGACTGTGTCCGACTCCTGTTGCAGTACGACGCAGAGATCGACGACATCACCCTGGACCACCTGACCCCACTCCATGTGGCCGCCCATTGCGGCCACCACAGGGTGGCCAAGGTCCTCTTGGATAAAGGGGCCAAACCCAACTCCAGAGCCCTGGTGAGTAGGAGGCCACTGGGGAAGCTGCCAGAGGGGCAGGGCAGGACCAGGGCTGCGTGGCTGGGCCCCGGGGCAGGGCAGCAGGGGCCTGGGGCGCCCCTGGGTCCAGGGCCTGAGCGGCGAGTTGCAACTGCACAGGCAGGCGGGGACCTGGCGTGCACCTGTCCTACACCCCCCGCTGCACGTCCAGCTTCTGGTGACCAGGCCGAAGTCAGGGGAGGGTTTGGGCCCGGGGACCTGACTCAGGAAGCAGCGTCCATGGCAGGGACGTGGGCTGAGGGACAGTGATTTCTTAGCAGCACCTGGCTTTTTGACCGCTTTGCGGGTAAGATGGCCTGAGCTAAGCATCCCTCGTCTGCAGAGGAGCTTATGGTTTCCATGGCACTCGTGTAGAAAGCAGACTTGCGCTGTGGCTGTGGTCCCTCTCCCCACTCCCCCAGGCCAGGGGCCTCCAGGGCTGTTCAGGGATCTGGTGGCGCCGCAGGTTTGCACAGAGCACACCTGAGACCACTGTCTCCTGGCTGCCCACTCCAGAGGAGCAGAACAGAGGATGCGGAGATGGTAGGGGACGGCTCATGCGTGCGTTCGTTCACTCCCTCACTCACGAAAGCCGTCGCCGTGCACTGCCCACGGGCCGCTTGCTGTCTAGGGCAGCTGCGGTTTCGCAGCCTCAGGCCCGTTGACGTCTGGAGTCATAGCTGTGGTCCTGTGCCTTGCAGGCGTTTAGCGGCATCTGTGGCCTCTCCCCACTGAGTGCTAATAGTTCTCCTCTCCTAGTTGTGACAATCGAAAACGTCCCCAGAGATTGCCACGTGTAGGGGGTGCGAACCCTACTCCCCTCCCCCCACCTCCCCTAGTTTGAGAACCGCTGGCTGAGGGGGATACAGCACTGAAACAGCAGAGACGACAGCCCCTGCCCTTCGGCGCCCGTGCCAGTGTGCGCTCGGGGATCAGAAATCCCTTCCGCTGAAACCGTCCACGGTTTCAGGGCGGAGGGAACGTGATTTGTTTCACGAAAGTATTCCTCATTGTACGTGTACCCTTAAGGGAGCTTTAAACTACAGGCTCTTGTAGTGCATCTAAAAGTATGGTTAAAATTTTTTTTAAAAGTTTATAAACATCATGTTTAGGAATGTGTCTGGTGCATACAGTGAGAGCCACCTGTCTCTTACGCGATTTGCATTAATTGACGTTACAAGATTAATCAATTGACATCAATTCATTGATGGGTCTGTGGGCGCCTTCTGACGGGCTGGGCAGAGGCTGCTTTCTAGAGCAGCCAGGGGGTCTTCCGGGTGTTCCTGGGCGGCGTGTGAGCTCCTGCTTGTGCGTCTCCCTCTGTGCCGGCTGCAGAATGGCTTTACGCCCTTACACATCGCCTGCAAGAAGAACCACATCCGGGTCATGGAGCTGCTGCTGAAAACGGGCGCCTCCATCGACGCGGTCACCGAGGTAGGAGACCCCGCAGGCCAGTCGGAGGGCACTGCCCGTGCTCCTCCTGCACCCGCCTCCTCCGAGAGCTGCCGGGCGTGTCTGCTCGGCTGGACTGCTGAAGGCATGAATCAGGAGTGACTGAGACGAGGGAACGTGTGTCCGGTCTCGGGGAGCTTCCAAGATCAGACACCAGTTTTGCAAGTTGTAAAATAGGCAGAACTTGTCCTGCGGGGATTTGTCTTTTTCTCTAGACCTTTTCTTGGAAACAAAAATACCTCATTTAACTCCCTTTTCTTGCAAAACCATTCATGAAAGCACTAGGTGCTGTCTGGCACCTTTTTCTCTGGGGGAGCGAGGATCTCACTCTGCTCCTGTCTGTTCCAGTCTGGCCTGACGCCGCTCCACGTGGCCTCCTTCATGGGGCACCTGCCCATCGTGAAGAACCTCCTGCAGCGGGGAGCGTCGCCCAACGTCTCCAACGTGGTGAGTGAGTCCTGGGCAGCGCAGGACTGCTGCTCCGGGCCAGGAGTGCAGAGGGAGCTTTTGCGGGGCTACAAGGCCTCCGCTCTGGGGACGGTAGACTCCTCGGAAGAGAGAGGGCTGCAGACGTGGGGAAAACGCCCCTCTGAGTGATGCTTTCCCGACCCGGCATGTCACACCTGTGGATCTTGGGGGTTTTCTTTTGGACAATAATTTGGGAATGTCTGTAAGTGTTAACTGGCAATACATTTACATTTTTGAATATTCATTAGCTCTGGGATTACTTTTATGTATACTAGAATACACACGCATGCACGCACACGCATGCACGCTCTCCCGCACACACCAGGTTAAAGAGCTGCTTGCTGGGACAACTGCACCTGTTGGACAAAAACCCACCACGCCACTCCAGGTCAGCATGTTGGAGCTCTGTGCAAAGCCAGCGTGTATGAACTGCTCTGTAATGTTTTTCTTTTACAGAAAGTGGAGACCCCACTACACATGGCAGCCAGAGCAGGGCACACGGAAGTGGCCAAATATTTACTGCAGAACAAAGCCAAAGTCAACGCCAAGGCCAAGGTGAGTTCTGGAGGTGGGAAGGGGAGGGTCCTGCATCCGTCCCAGTCTGAGGCCGGGCTGCAGTGCTTGTGGTCCAGGAACCACTGGTCATTCCCGTGGGGGTCACACTGGACGCCCAGATTCTGTGTTGTGGGTGGGGGTGGGGCGCAGGTTTGAGAAGACACGAGATACTTTTGTGTCAGAGATACATTTCTTTAAAATAACGAAAGCCCGAGGAGTGTGGCTGGCTGCAGGTGTTGCCAGTGAAAACTAGCCAGGAAGCGCGGGATCTGCAATCGCAGGATTCCCCTCGTTGTAAATGCATTTTGCATTTCGATGGGCTGAGTGGACGGTGAGAAAGGCTGCAGAGCTGGCCAGTTGACCCGCCAGCATCAGGCCTTCCCTGACCGCTGGCGGCAGAGGCTCCCCTTGGAGTTAGGACCGTGATTTGTATCTGGCCACGTGGAGGGTGCCTGCGGCAGGGCCATGTGGCACAGAGACATCTCCAGGGAACCGTGAGCACCAGCCAGAAACAGGAAGTGGCACAGGGTCGATGAAAAGGTCACCTTTCCTGGTCAGTAGTTGGACTCTCGCCTGGTGTAGAGAAAATCAGAATAGAAAGAGACTGAAACAGCAAAGACAAGCGAATCCGCTCAGAAAGGACTCGGGTGGCGGGTCAGCAGCCGCAGTGTATCGGGTGCCTTCATGCACCAACAGTCGCAGAAATGTGCACGTTGTATGCTAGATCCCGACCCTAACCCAAGAATGCAGATATTATTATCCCATTTTACTGATGGGAAGGCTGAGCTTTTGGGCAATTGAGTAGAAATAATAACTAACTTGAAAGGTCGCTGTAAGGATGGAATAAGATAGAACATACTGGTTTCTGTAACTCAGAGACTTGGTTCAGATCCCAGCTCGTCATTTTCTTAGCTGTGTGACCTTGAGAAAGTCACTTAACCTCTCTGGGCCTCACCTTCCACATTTCCTGTTCTTTGTTTTCCCTTCGGGTGCAGGATGACCAGACCCCACTTCACTGTGCAGCTCGCATTGGCCACGCGAACATGGTGACGCTCCTGCTGGAGAACGGCGCCAACCCGAACCTGGCCACCACTGCCGGGCACACGCCCCTGCACGTCGCAGCCCGCGAGGGCCACGTGGAAACGGCCTCGGCCCTTCTGGAAAAGGAAGCATCCCAGGCCTGCATGACCAAGGTACAGGCTTCTTCCTCCTGCTCTGAAGAAGCGGCAGGTTAGTCCTGCTGGGCCCGGGGCTCCCAGCCCTGCCTGCGTCGGTGGCGCTGTGAGTGGCTGGGAGGTCGGCTCCCGGGCTGACCGCTGTCTGCCAGCCTGACGTGTCCTCGTCCTTCCCCAGACAGGGCGTTGCCCCGTGCTGTCACACCCTCCCCTCCCCCAGAGCAGGGCCAGTGGGGAGGGCCGAGGCAGCCTGGGCTTCCTGAGGACTTTGGCCTCTTGGACGGCTCAGCAGTGGCCGGAGGGCTCCACCTCCGCGCCGGCGAAGGTGGAGGACAGCCTGGTGCCCACGGTCCTGACGGCCCGTGTTTCTCCTCAGAAAGGATTTACCCCCCTCCACGTGGCGGCCAAGTACGGGAAGGCGCGGGCGGCAGAGCTGCTGCTGGAGCGGGACGCACATCCAAACGCCGCCGGGAAGGTGGGTTTGAACCCCCCTCAGGGCAACGGCGAGAGCAAGGGCGACAGGGTGGCCACCGAGGGAGGGCGGCCTTTGGAGAGACAAACCTTCTGTCACCGCCTCGTCCTCCTCACAGGAGTGAGGAGACGGCCCTGGGTCCTGTGGTTACGTCCTGTAGTGATGCCAAGTCAAGATTGGCTTTGCGAGGATTTGTGACTAGATTTCACCTGTGTGAAACAAGTGCTTTGGGCTCACGCCTGTAATCCCAGCACTGTGGGAAGCTGAGGTGGGAGGATGGCTTGAGCCCAGGAGTTTGAGATCAGCCTGGGCAACGTAGCAAGACACCATCTTTACAAAAAGATGTTTTTTTAATTAGCTGGGCATAGTGGTGGCACCCGTAGTCCCAGCTACTCGGGAGGCTGAGGCAGGAGGATCGCTTGAGCCCAGAAGTTCCAGGCTGTAGTGAGCTGCGATGATGCCACCATACTCCAGCCTAGGCTACAGAGCAAGAGTCTGTCTCAGAAAACATATAAATAAATAAATATGTGCTTTGGATGCAAACCTGGGTCCCGCATCTGAAGGGATCCCCAGCAGAGAGTACACTGGAGTGAAGGCCGCTCTCTTTGTCTCTTCTGTCCCCCTGTAGAACGGCTTGACGCCCCTGCACGTGGCCGTTCACCACAACAACCTGGACATCGTCAGGCTGCTGCTTCCCCGGGGCGGCTCCCCGCACAGCCCGGCCTGGGTAAGGCCCCCCGACAGGCCCTCCCGCCTGGGCGGCTGCCAGTCCTTCAGGGCGGGGTGTCTGGAAAGCAGAACAAGGGGTTTGTGTTTTGTTGTTACTTTGACCTCTGAAATCTCACCTCACTTTCATGAACGTCACTGCAGTACAACTCTGCTGTTGGGCCCCGGAACGGGATGGCTGTGGGTGACACGCAGGTCACCTGCGGAGGTGGAATTCGTTTTACAATAAGTGGTCCCCACGCAGCTGCGAGCCAGCTGTTTTGTAGAGTGGCTGGCAAAGGTGATCACGGATAAGACTGTCCACGGAGCGGGGCGCCTTGTTCCCGGACGTTCCGACTGGCCGGCTGCGTGGCGTGGCCCGGAAGCCCCATCTTTAACCTGCTCCCCAGGTGGCTCTGAGGCGGGGGCACAGGGACCACACTTTGAGAATATTCAGGGCTGTGGGTGAGCTTCTGGGCCCTGGGAGCAAGGAGCCCCTTTTGAATGGGAGTGATGAGCCCCAAACTTACTTCTCTCTGAGATCAGACTTTTGGGTTGATCGAGGCTATTCTTGTAAGGAGGCAACCTACGCACGCCACACGCTGGACAGACGTCCAGGCCCCGGCCTCACGCCAGCCTCTGAAATGAGCTGCTCAGAGCAGCAGGTTCCATGACCCTCTGGGGAACCAGAGTGACGGAAGCAGGGCGGGCAGCGCCGTGGAAGACGATGCAGGGGTGTTGGTGGTGCAAGGGTAGAGCCTGACCCTGAAGGACCAGTTCTGGGAGCAGGCTGCCCCCGCCCCCGTGGGAAGGCGAGGGCTGTGCGGGGTTTGTGTCGGCAAGGGGGGCGCTGTGCAGCTGGTGGCCAGGTGGCAGGGGAGGGGAAGCAGGAGGGGCAGAAGGCAGGGGGGCAGCCAGGCTGTGGCAAGCACTTAGGGGGTAATTTATGGGGGAGCAAGCCCTGGTCACGGTCATGGCGGGAGTCCAAGAGCAGAGAAGGGAGCCCGGTGGGTCGTCCTGATTCCAGCTGACACCTGCTGGCTTGGGGCAGCCCCCAGGCAGGGGGGATCAGCTGGGCTGTTTGTTTCCCCCTCGGAGCGGATGCTCACCTCGGTATTGCAGCTCCGCTCTCCTGGGACACAGCACCGCCCAGACGCCCGCTGCTGTCGTAGCCCCGTCACCGTGCAGAGGGAGCACGCGGCCCTGCTGGGCTGCCGACGTACTCCTGCCTCTAAAAATAAAAAGCTGGACTCTCTTCCTCCTCACTCTCCTCCTTATGTGAAAAGAACCGGAGCCAGATTCATGATATTTAAAGAGAGCTAAATCCAAGCACAGACCCTATACAGATGGGCTTTGTTTCCATGGCAAAAAATAGTTTCCAAGTAGTCTGGCAATTTTGTAGAATTTCACATGCAAATCTCTCTGCACCCAAACCAAACCCTCCCTTTCTAATTTTGATGCTAATGTTGCTTTAACATTTAGTTGAGCTCTCTCCTGCCTGCATTGCTTTGGATGATCTCATTTCCTTGGGAAAGAGGAGCCTTTTAAGGGCACACATCCCTCCCTGACCTCCCCTGACCCTCCAGCCTGGCCGCCACTTGTCCTTGTCACCTGCAGAAGGCCATTTGTGGTTTTTTTTTTGAAGTCCTAGTTTGGGGGAACCTCAGAGGGGCAGCCCATGTTCTGAGCCCATGCGGTGGCTCTTGCATCTCGGTTTTAACTGGGGGCTACCCGGCAGCCTGTGCCAGCTCCAGGTGGGCTTCCCTTTGCCAGGGCAGGGTGCTTCCCCTGCCAGGGTGGGCACCCACAGTTGCCTCAGCGGCCTGGGAGTCCCGATTGTGCATCCACGAATCTTCTTCAGATTGCTCAAGTGACTGCCCCGTGTACGCAGAAAGAGTCCTGCTCAGCGTGCTTGCATGTAGCCAACGTCTGCCTGGGCCAGGCACCAGCCGGGTGGGTGCTCAGGGCCTCGTCCCATTCCGTCCCCACAGCAGCACCTGGGTGGAGACGTTCCACGACACCCTCCGTACAGGTGACAGGCTCCAAACCGCAGGCCTGATCCGTGTAATCGCATCTTTTTTCTTTGCCCTCTTTTGATACGGTACAAAAATCATTTTGTTTCATTGATTTTATTATAATCTAAATGTCAATCTTGTTACATGAACACAACCTGCAAAGAACAATTTAATGTCCTCTCCTAACATAATCAAATTAAAAAGGAGAAATACTAGAAAGAATTATGTAATTCTTCAACGAGATGCTTTTTTGATTTAATATAATTATGTGGGTAAATCACAACCTTCCATTTCGCCCATAAAGGCCACTTCACAGCCTGGCCTCGATATCCTTTTCCCTGTCCCCTGGGCTCTTTCCTCTTCCTGGTGGCGATCCTGGCAGAATCAGAGATGCTGGTTTCCACAGCAAGACAGTGGCTGGCAGGGGGGGACTCAGTCCTCGGGGACGGCTGGAGGGCACCTCACATGCCCTGAGACGGACACACGTGGGTCCCATCTGCTGCGGCCTGGGCGGGTGTGTGTCCAGGAGCCCTGCGGCCTGGCAGTGCCCTCAGCCCTGCGCACCCCGGGCCTTGCCACTCAAAGTGTCGTCCCCGACCTGGCAGCACCAGCTTCACCCAGGAGCTTCGTAGACTTGCAGGATCTTGGGTCCTCTCGGATCTTCTGAATCAGAATCTGTGTTTTAACTGGTCCCAAGGGCTCTGTGGGCACATCAGAGTTTGAGAAGCACTGTTCTAGCCGGAGTGACCCGGGCCGTGGAGTCAGAGGTCAGAGTTGGGTTATCTGTTGTTCCACTTATTGTACGACCTTAGATAAGTCACTTAACCTCTCAGAGCATCGGCCTCTTTATCCACAAAGTGGGATAATAATAAAAATGTCTGCTTTACTTACCTTCCGTGGCTGTAGTGAAGCTCGGAGACACTTGAGGTGAAAGTGGATTTTGACAGTGGTGACCGCAGCACCCACCTGTGCGCGGTCCGCGAGCTCGCCCTGTAAGCTACGCCACGCCCTGCTTCCTCCATCGGGAAAGTCTTGCTGTCAGAATTAAAACACTCATAGCGAAAATACAAAGTGAGCTGAGTACACAGTGCACAGTGACGCAGTTTGATTGACTTGGGGCCACACTGTCGAGCCGGTGGCACATAGGTGTGTCTCTCGCGCATCTTCGCTTTGGAAAACACCCTCGCGTGTTTCTCCACGTTCGATCCACCCAACGGCTTCGAAAACAAACGAGGTAGCTGTTCTTACCCACTTAAAACATACCGAAGGACATCTAGGTCGTGGGCGTCTTGCTCTGGGTCGCGTGGATGGTTAAGAGTGGGAGGAAGACTGGCTCCCATGTCCACAAGTCCCTTGCCCGGCACATGCCCCCAAATGCCACCGTGCCTGATGCCAGCAGGCCCAGAGGGCAGCATTGTGCAGTTGCACAGGGAAAGAAAAGGAGCCGCTGTTTCCTCCCTCCGTGCAGGAGGGAGGAAATGAGAACCTGGTTCACTTGCTCGCCTGGCCTTGCAGTGGTGCCATGGCTGCTACTGAATCCCAGCTTCTCCCGGTGACAGCGTCTCCTGCCCGCGGTTTGTCAGCATGATCACGGGAAATAGATGGTGGAAAAGGGGCAGACATTTGCTGGCTACGGGAGCCCAAGGAGCTGTCTCCAGATCAAATGGGTTTTGTTTGTTTGTTTGCTTGAATTGCTCTTGGGGCGATACCAGCCCTGCTCTGTGGGTGTCCGGCTGGCTGAGAACCAGGCCCAGCCCTCCCTCCTCACCGCTATTGTCAACTCAGCGTTCCCGTAACCGGGCCCCGGGTGGCTGCTTCCGTTTCAGAATGGCTACACCCCTCTGCACATCGCTGCCAAGCAGAACCAGATGGAGGCGGCCCGCAGTCTGCTGCAGTACGGGGCATCGGCGAACGCCGAGTCGGTGCAAGGTGTGACTCCCCTTCACCTGGCTGCACAGGAGGGTCACGCGGAGATGGTCGCTTTGCTGCTCTCGAAACAAGCCAACGGCAACCTGGGGAACAAGGTGGGCACGGCGCCTTGGGGTCTGCCTTAGCTGCAGAAACGTGTCAGTGTCTTCTCACTGGGATGACGTCTGCATGCGGAGCACCTGCTGTGTGCCCGGGTTCCGCATAGGCGGCGTGTGTGTGATGCTTACGACGGCCCTAAGTTTGACCTTAGTTTCCTAAATGGAGACACAGGGTCAGGCAGGTCACTTATGCCCAGGGTTGCAGGACTCCGAGCCTGTGTGATGCCAAAGCCCTTGCTGATTGTACCATGCTGTGCCGTCTCTCTAAACATCGTCGACTGTAGGATCTGCAAAGACTCCATAAAATCCATAGTACCTGTTCCCACTTATAGGCCGGAGGCCACGTTCAGGAGTCTATTAACTAATTTGGTACTAAATTTTCATTTTCTGTGGGGGAAGGTATTTTTAAAATACCTATACATTAGAAGTTCTTAATCCAGGGGCAGTAGGTGAATGCGTGTAAAGCCTTCTAGAACCGGACAGGACACTGGCAGGGAAGGGCACCTGCGTGCTTTCTGGGTGAGGTGTTCATAGTGTTTCTTAGTGCCTCAAAGGAATGCATGCTCAAGAAATACTAAGAGTTCTTTTTTTAATAACAATCTTATTGAAATGTAATTCACATGAAATTTACCCTTTTGAACTGTACCATTCAGTGGTTTTTAGCATATTTACCGAATTGGGCAGCCATCGCCGCTACCTAACTTCAGAACATTTTCATCACCCGAGCAGGAAACCCCACACCCGTTGGCAGCCACTTCCTATGCCCCCCAAACCCCCCGTCTATGGAAACCATGAATCTACTTTCTGTCTCCATGAATTTGCCTATTCTGGACATTTCTCGTAGATGGAATCACACGGTGTGAAGAACCGCTTCTTTAGATGACAAATTCACGTAACATCCCCAGCGAAGGAACTGTTACAGTAGGACCATCACATTTCACAGCATTCTGGGTTTCTTCATTAGTTCACTAAAGCAAGGAGACAGTAGTGATGACGGTGACCCTGTACTGGAAACGTCCTCTCCGTGCACACGCCGCCCTCCCCAGGCAGGTCATGGGTGTGGAGCCCACGTGAGGGGCTTGCAGCTGACACAGTGACCACTCAGTTGTGGGCCTTTCTCCCTGGAGCCAGCCCCGACGGCCATGGCTAGCAGGAATGGCCTGCTTGCTCAAGTGACAGCTGGCAGCGTCACTGCTCAGAGCCTTTGGTCAGCTCAGGGAACGTGCAAAAGGCAGAGGTTCCTGTAGGGTCCCTGCGGAGGGGACGCTGCCTGTGAGCGCAGAGGAGTCGGAGCTCTGCTGTCCCCGTTAGCACAGGGTCCTGAGGCAAGGGACGGGAGAGAGTATTTTCCTGACGTTTCTGTGTGAGTGCCCACGTATCAGACAGCATCTCCGAGACATTCGCCCTCACGAGAAAGCTGCTTATCGCCAGAACACGGAGAGTTCACTCCCCGCGGATCCTCCACCCTTCTGCGGTGCAGCGCTGGCTGTGATGCGATAATACGCTGCATTTATATGGCACCGTGTGCTTTTCAAAGTACTTTCACCTGTGCTTTCTCAGGTGATCCTCACTTTGACCTTGAGATAGATCAGTGATAATCTCTGTTGTTTACATTAGGAAACCACAGCACTGAAATTTACCATGGAAATAGGGGGTTCTCAGAAGGAACCATAAAGTACCTATGACGGGAAGGTACTTTATAGTACCTAGTTCTCCCACATCAGAGGTCGGCAAACTATGGCCCCTGGGCCAACTCTGGCCCACCACTTGTTTGTGTAAATAAAGTTTTATTGGAACGCAGCCATGCCCATTCACGTATGTGTTGGCTGTGGCCACTTTGTTACCACACTGGCAGAGTTGGGTAGTTACTGCAGAGACACAGTCTAAAATATTGATGATCTGGCCGGTAACAGAAAAAGTTGCCAGCCCTGATCTAGTTTAACCACCTTGTTCTTAGATAAGGATACTGAGGCGGAGAACAGGAAGAGCTGTGCCCAGGGCCACGTAGCTGTCAGTGGCAGCAGAGCCAGGTCGAGCTCCCAGACCTCAGGGCTCTGTCATTGTGGTCTGAAATCTTTACATGCTAGAAGGTGACGAACATCTTTTTCTTTGCAGAGTGGACTCACTCCCCTCCACCTGGTAGCACAAGAAGGCCACGTTCCAGTGGCAGACGTGCTGATCAAACATGGTGTCGCGGTGGATGCCACCACTCGGGTAAGGCAGGCACCCCGTGCCTCGGGCCTCGTGGGGTCCCGCCCCCCGATCCCCTGCATGCTCTGACAGTCCTGCCCGGCGGGGACCCCCACACTTCAGATCCGGCTCTTCCTTAGAACTTTGAAACCCCAAGCACCCAGGGGGACATCCTCTGCCACTTCTAGGGCTGGCAGTGGGTTTGAAGACACCTGTCCTAATTATCTCACTTTCCAGGTGGGATTTTTAAAAAGTTTGCTAGACCTCTGAGCCTCTGTAGTGAGAAACCAAAATGTCAAGCTTCCCTGGATACACTCAGAAGTTTAGCCCCTTTTATTCCAGAATTTGGTTAAATTCAGCTCAGCTTTCTTTGAGCCTCTGTGTCCGAGGAGCTGTGTGAGTGGGATCTGCCCTTGGGGCATTTGCAGCTTAGAGACAGGAGGGGACCGTGCAGCTGGACATGTGTAGGAGGGGCCTGAGCACGGTGGAGGGGGCTGTTTCCAGTTGGCGGGAGGAGGGGGCGTCATCACCTCCTTTCCACATAAGGCGACTGGATTAAAAGAACGGGACAGGGTGGCACTCCGGCCCCGCCCCTCTGGAGTACCACGGCAACTCCGGCTGGCAGTGCTGTGCTGAAGTCACCCCGAGAAAGGTCTAGAAACTGTTTTTATCCCCAACTGCCTGCAGTATCCACAGGAATCTGCTAGAACCCAAGAACGTTCTGGGTCTTTGCGGCTTCTCTTGCTCACCCAGGTTGGTCTTTGGGTCCTGCCCTGAGAGACCCTGTGCTGTGGGTCAGCACTACCTCGAGGACCCCAGGCCTCCTGTTACACGAAGGTCCTGCCTGCCGCTTTACGTGCCAAGGGCCTCCGGAACCCGAGCGCTGAGGGCGTGTCGCACTCAGCAGGACAGGGTCCTGGAAGAATCAGCCTCTTCAAAGCCCAAACTCACGTGAACAAATGTCCAAACCCACTCATTTCAAGCAATGGCCAGTTCCCATAAATTCCATTGCACTGCAACTACTATAGTAACCCGGACAGCATTTTGGGGGTTTACGATGGATTTCACCTTTCTAGCAGAAATAAGTCTGCTCTCACCAGGGTGAGGCACAATTCCACATCTTAGCCCTTCCCAGCAGCGGGGCGGACAGCTCTTCCTCCTTCCTGAGATGGCCCCTCCTGGGTCCTGCCACAGCGCTCCCGCTGGTCTCCCTCCTCCCTCCTTTCTGCCTTTGCCTCTGAGTCCTGCCTCCTCGGGTCCCACTCGTCCAACTTATCCTGGGGACCGACTTGTCTCCAGGGCTGCTGACTCTCCCATGTGCTGGCGACCCCACTCTAGCCTGTGGGGCTCGGGGTCGGTTTCCTAATTGCCCAGCGGACGTCTCTCCTCAGATCGCCACAGGCATCTCGGCCTTGGCTTGTCTGAAGCTGATCCCTGCTCCTGCCCGGCCGGTGGCATCTGGCCGGTGTGTCTCCTGTCAGCCCTGAGCCTTGCGCAGGGCTCGCGGTCTGTGATCTCTTTCCATCAGCTGCTTCCGTAAAGATGTCCGTAGACGCCCGGCTCCGTCCGGAAGGCCCTTGGTCTGCCCAGAAGCCCTGCTGGTCAGCCACACTCATCTCCTGCTTTTCAGATGGGGTACACCCCGCTCCACGTGGCCAGTCACTATGGAAACATCAAGCTGGTGAAGTTCCTGCTGCAGCACCAGGCAGATGTCAACGCCAAGACCAAGGTACAGGGCACCTTAGACCTGCCTCCTGCATGGACACGGTTCGGGCGCCAAGCAGGCTGCAGCTGGGGCGGCTCTAGGGGTGCCTGGGGCTCCGCCACAGGTTTAAGCTTTGACCCAAAGGAGGAAAGGGGGAAATGCATTTTTTTAATGTTGCACTAGAAGACGGATTGGTGCTGTAGCATGTAGGCAGGTCTTTCTCGAACAGCTAGCTAATCCTGCCAAAATGTCTGCCTCGCTTCGTAGCTAGGATACAGCCCCTTGCACCAGGCAGCCCAGCAAGGACACACAGACGTCGTGACTCTGCTTCTGAAAAATGGTGCTTCCCCAAACGAGGTCAGCTCGGTGAGTACCAGCCCCTCCTGATCTCGAAAGACTGCTCTCCGTGGCGGCAGCCCTGGGCAGCCTCCCTGGACTAGAGAGGTTGACGTGCACAGGTGTGGCCTGGACGGGCCTGTGCACCTGAAAGTCTCAGCCGCCTTGGGGACCCAGGGGACGGGGCCCTGTGACCCATTCCTCTTTCTGGTGAACTGAAGCTTTTCCTTTTAAGCACCGTTTATCCTCCCCTTTTATGTTTCTTAAAATATTGTTGAAACACTTTCTAAAATACATGAAGCCCCTTTCAGTATGGTATAAGAGAACAGAATGAAGTGTATCGGGTGGTTCCTGATCTTTCCGTGCCTTGGAGTTACCCTTGGCGACATCAGGGATCATTGCTGAGTGTGAACTTCCCCGTCTGGCCACGTGGGGATTTCTGAGATTGTCCAGGGCTGCTTCGCTCCGCACAGGTGTGGACCCTCAGCTGTGGGCACGGTCGCCACATCTGTAGCTGCGGGTGCTGCTGACTGCGCAGCCCAGGCACGTCCTGGGAGTAGAGAACTTCAGGGAAAAACGGAGCCTCAGTGTCAGCATGTTGTCACTTAGCTCTTTCTGTTACAGTCAGAGTAGAAAACACCTCCCGCCCTGTTGCTGGTGATCGAAGTTAATCCAAGTACATGGATTATTTTAACTAAAAGTTTCAGTGCTCAGCCACTGACACCCAAAGAGCAGACTTTGGGAGTCGTGAGCATCATAAAGTCACATCTGGTGACGTCCGGACCCACCCTCAACGCTACAGACTTGAGGTGTTGCTGCCCCCAGGTCTTTGTGGCCTTGTTGCTCGCGCACCGCTAGGCTCGCGCTGGTGCAGGGAGCCTCTGGGCCCCCAGGTGGCATCCGTGCACTCAGGCCCTTCTGCACGAGGAGAAGGTGAACTGATGGGGGACAGCGGGTGGATCTTCCTCCCGGCGGAGTCCCCCGTCTGAGTGCTCTGTCTGCTGCTGTTCCCCCAGAACGGAACCACACCTCTGGCCATAGCCAGGCGTTTGGGCTACATTTCCGTCACAGACGTGCTCAAGGTTGTCACCGATGAAACCAGTGCCATGGTAGGTCTGCTTCTCCCCTGCACCTGCCCCAAACACCGCGGCCTGACAGACAGGGCCTTAGGGGTGTCCGGACCTGGGGTGGCCGCAGGTTCTCCTCGCCTGGCGGAGTCGTGCTGCCACCTAGTGGCCACAGCATTCGGGGCTGTTTCTCCCGCCATGGGCGCCGCGGACATCACTTCCACGCTGTGTCCCGGGTCTGCTGTGTCTCTGTGGGACGCGCCTCCCTTCCACAGGCGTGACCAGCAAGCCACTGGACTGACGAAAGGGTGCATGGCTCTAATTTGGGTTGAATTCTCTGTTTTCTTTCATTTTAGTTAGTCAGTGACAAGCACCGGCTGAGCTTCCCTGAGACGGTGGACGAGATCCTGGATGTCTCCGAAGACGAAGGTGAGGTCTGGGCGCTGTGCTCAGACTGGGGGCACAGGGGGCTCCCAGCACCCGCGGTGGCTTCCTGCCACCCGCCACCTGCCAGGTGTGCCCCCACACCCCGAGCACTGCAGATGGGCAGCAAAGCCGGGAGACCCGCTTTTCACAGATGGCGTCTATTACCAAAAACACTCCTAAAATATAACCTTAGGTGAAGGAAAATGGGCATCACAGAGACTAAGATTTAAAATCCCACGAAGGTTCATAAACGCGTGTGTGTTTGCATAGATCACGCGTGTGCATCGGATTGGAGCAGGGTCCTTCTTGGAGCCGTGAGGAACTGTAATAAGATTCTGCCTGGTGCTTTCTTTGTGTGTTGAACAAATATTAAGTGGATTGTTTAAAATTTGCAAGAATGACTTTTAATAAGCTGTGCACATAGTGGGTCTGAGCACAAAATGGGTCGGTAGGTTTGGGGTTATATCTGTGATTGTGAAATTCTTAGTCTCAACGTCTGCGAACTACAGAGCGCTCCTAGCGTGTCTCTGCCCCGGAGGCGCCATTTCTCCCCACTCAGGCGAGACAGGAGCTCTGGTGATGCAGAGTAGCCGGGTGGGCTGGGCTGGCTCTGCCGCCCTTGCGTCGGGTTGTTCCCGGGTGGGCTGGGCTGGCTCTGCTGCCCTTGCGTCGGGTGGTTCGGGGTCGTGCAGTGTCGGCTGGGTGCGCGGCGCTCTCTGCGAGCCTCTGATACCGTGTGCGCCTCTCACTTTGCCTGACTTCAGTCCTTCCTTCAACTTGGCTCTTCTTTGCTTTCCAGGAACTGCTCATATAACTATAATGGGTATGAAACGCTTTCTGTTCCCTGTGGTCTTCTCTCACCAGAGTGCATTTCACCCTCAGCAACCCAGACCCTCACTAATCATTCCTGCTTCCACCCTGCTCTGATGGTCACAGTCTGGAGCCGGGAGCTCGGCTCCAGCAGGGAGTCTGCGCCCGAGATGCACGCTCCAGCGGGCGGCTCCCACCTGTCCATCCCTGCGTCTGTGCCCATGCCGCCGTGTGTGTGACCATCACTGCATGAGCTCTTGTTCCATCCCATCAGCTCCGGGTCACAAGCCAGGATGCTCACAAGCCAATGACAGCCCAAGGTTGAGGGCCTGGGCTGCAGCCCCAGTTCAGGCGAGCAGAGAGCAGAGAAGCATTATCTGGGTGTGGGCGGCTGGTTCACCTGTAGTTTGAGCCTCTGTAAGGAGCTCTGGACAGAATGAGGTTTCAACCGCCATGGTTACAAAATCCTGCCGCCCTTCGCCACGCGTGGCCTCAGTTCTACTGCAGTTCATCTTTCTGCGGCACAGATGGTGGGGCAGTAGCAGTGCCTTCTTTGGTGTCACTGCACACCCCAAAAAGGGCTGTTTTGAAGTGGACCTTGTCAAGTGAAGGAAGTTCTTTCTGGCTGTGTTTTTGCCCATCTGCAAAGCATAGTGCAGACTAAGATGTCAGGAGGTGGCCGCCCTGCTCTGTGTCACAGGGCTGGAGGAGCAGGACCGGGCAGACATTGCTCCTGGTCCCCTGGGAGCAGCAGATGCCTTCCCCACTCCTCGGGAGCAAGCCCTGAGAGGCAGAGCGGGGAAAGCGCTTTGCGAAAAGAAAGAGCATCTTCCCTCCTGCCCCTGTCGCTCACTCGAGCCCGTGTCGTTTCAGGGGAAGAGCTTATCGGCTCCAAGGCTGAGAGGCGAGATTCCAGGGATGTCGACGAAGAGAAGGAGCTGCTGGATTTTGTGCCCAAGCTAGACCAAGTGTAAGCAGTGCTCCTGGAGGGGTCAGGTGTGGACAGCCACGTGCAGCCCTGCGCCTCAGGGGAGGATGCCAGAGCAGGGCGGGGCTCACGCAGGCCAGGCCTGCAGCGAGGTGGAGTGCTGCCCAGCTGGGCCGGGCGCGGGCGCCTTAGGGCAGGCCGGCTCTGCACCTTGGCTGCCAGGAGGGCACGCGCAGGCCTCCCCTGCAGCGTGCTGTCTCCTCCCCGGCATCCCTGCCTCCCAGCTTTCCTCCGTCCCTCCCTCGCAGCGTCTCGCCTGCACCCCTTCTCCCTCTCCTGCACCCTCAGTTCTCACCAGAGGGCTCCACTGAGGAAGGTTCCCCTTAGAAACCGCTGCCAGGCTAAGGTCCGGCACTGACCGCGTGCCCCTGCGATGAGGCACTAGGTGGGATCCATGGGGGCCCGAGTGTGCCTGGGACACTGTTCTCGTGTCTCTTGTGACTGCAGTGAGTCACTCTGCTGTGAGTGCGTTTGTACACAAGGACGTTTTGCTAATAATCTGTCTGTAGTCGGCGTTTAGAAACACGGAGCCTAGGTGTTCTCTGGGCTCGTACGCGGCAGGGCAGCGGAACCGCAGGGCTGTGAGCCCACGCGTGGTGACGGAATATCTGTCTGGAGGAGTGCAGCGCTCCAGCCCTGGCCACGAGGCGCTTTCAGTCATTTGGTGGGAGCAGAGCCCGTGCCAGTGGTCACGTGGCAATGCAGAGTGACAGGGGCTGAGGCCGGGGGAGGCTGCTGTCGACAGGGGCTCTAAGCTGCAGAAAGGGGTGCCGCGTATGTGTGGATGTCTTCGGGGGAAGACGCCTGGCGGAGGCAGGTCCTTTGGTCAGGCTCTGAAGGCCTGTCGGGCTCTGGAGGGGAAGGCGGGAGGAAGAGGCCCTGGGCAGGGCGGAGGTGGTCCCCGTGTGGAGGGGACAGTCGCACTGCACTTGTGCGTGGGGTGCAGGCTGGGGCGGATGGAGGTCATTACAGGGGTGCGGAGGTCCTTCGCTTAGGGGTCAGCCTTCGATGGCCCCGTGTTCTTGGCACACAGGGTGGAATCTCCAGCCATCCCCAGGATCCCCTGCGTCACCCCCGAGACAGTGGTGATCAGATCAGAAGAGCCAGAGCAGGTGAGAAGAACCATTTCTCTCACACGCCCCCGCGTGGAGCGCGCCCAGCACGGTGGCGGTGGATGGCGGCAGCGCCGGGGCCGCAGCCCTTCAGAGCCATGACTGTGTGTGCTCCTGGCAGCCCAGTGCGTGGGCTCGTGTCGTCCCAGACCTTACTGACACGAGACTCGGGCTCGGGCGTGTGCGGCACGTGTCACAGTTCAGGATGCATGAGCGGAGAGCTGACGCCAGCACTTCCGGCTCCAAAGCCTGCGTTCCTGGCCACAACCCCTGAGCACACGCACTCTGTGCTCATGGGGGCAGCGGGTTCCGGGCTGCAGAGGAACCGAACCGCCCCCTGTGGCAGGAGGCACAGCCCGCAATGGCCACAGAGCCCCGGCAAGGACAGCTCTGTCCCCTTTGGTTTAGCGTCCCTAATAAAGGAGACACTTTCTGTCCCTCTCGTCAAGGGAGCACTGGGAGGAAGGGGCGCCAGAGAGCCGCTCCCAGGCAAGCATGACTCGTCACAGAGCCTCGACTTCCCAGGGGCCACCTGACCTTGTCAAGAAATCCCCCTTAGTTTAATTTTGTGCCATTTGGCACTTTTTTCACAGGGCAAGGGAATTTGCTAGGGAGAAAAGAAAGCAGCCCAGTGCTTGAGGCTGGGCACGGCTGCTCTCTCCCTGCGCCCCGTGAGGGTGTGTGTCTGCAAGCAGCGGTGACGCCCTGGACCCAAAAGTGGTCCACAGGAATAAACCGGCCAAGATGCGGTCCCACTGGCCTTCCGAGCTAGGGTTTCAGAAGGCTGCGATGTTGGGTGGCATCTGAGAGAGATGGTCCAGTACGGCCCTTTTCTGCCATGGCATGTTCGCTGGGTGCTGCCACGGACGGCAGCGAGTGGCCCTGCGTCCTGCTGTTCCTTGACCAACCCATTCCCTCAGCGCTTTGCTGAAGCCGGGAACTCTAGGCGGCAGGTAGCCCCTGCACTCCTGCCGTGCGCCCCGGGAGGCTGGAGCGGGGGACCGTGAGCCCCTGCCTCCTAGGAGCTGAGGCAGCCCGGAGGAGTGGACACGGCCACACCAGCTGGCACAGAGCTTGGGAGGGTGGACGTGAGGTGCTCAGCAGTGTGGCGTCAGTGAGTTATCCCAGAGCGCAGGGAAGGGAGACTAGAGTCGGTGGAGGGTGACACGTGGAAAGTGGGCAGGGCTGGACGAGCAAAGGAGAGGGACAGGATGTTCTGGCCCCGGGAAGAGCAAGCGTGAAGGCAGAGTCGAGGCCGGGTTCAGGGCCTGCTGGCGGCTGCAAGTCCTCGAGACAGGCCAGGCCCTGCTTCCAGGCAGCCCCTGTCCCTGTGGTGGCCTCAGAAGGAACGTCCCCATTTCACGGCGAGGCAGCAGGAAGCCCCTGGGGGTGAGGGCCTGCTGTGTCCTCAGGCACCTGCAGGGTGAGAGCCGGCCACGGCTAAGCGGCTCGGGTGAAGGCACAGGGTCCCCTACGGCCTGCCCAGGGCCCCCTACGGCCTGCCCAGGGCAGGGCTCCCCGGCAGACACAGCTGGGGGCGAGTGGGGGGCCATGGCATGGGCAGGGGGCACAGGCCCGGAGCCAGAGGGAGAGCGAGAGCTCACCACGTCCCTTCCGGGCCTCTGCCCCAGGGTCTCGAGACACAGGGAGGCCGTGGAGGGGAAGAAGCCGGTGTTTCCCGTTGGACGACAGGCCCGTGTGGTCTGGAAGGCTCCGTGGTGAGCCTGCGGGCACACTTTCTCCATGGCACTGTGCTTGGCCGGCCCGGGGGAGGCAGTGGGACAAGAGGACCTTTGCTGTCACCCTCAGGCATCCAAAGAGTACGATGAAGACTCGCTTGTGCCCAGCAGCCCGGCCACGGAGACCTCCGACAACATCAGCCCCGTGGCCAGCCCGGTCCACACAGGGTGAGCGACGCAGGCGTCTGGGACCCCCACCCCACCCACCCCCGCTAAGGGGCACAGAAGCCCAACGCGGTCTGCCCTGCCCCCAGGTTCCTGGTGAGCTTCATGGTGGACGCCCGCGGAGGCTCCATGCGAGGGAGCCGCCACAACGGCCTGCGGGTGGTGATCCCGCCACGGACGTGCGCGGCGCCCACGCGCATCACCTGCCGCCTGGTGAAGCCCCAGAAGCTGAGCACGCCGCCCCCGCTGGCCGAGGAGGAGGGCCTGGCCAGCAGGGTCATCGCCCTGGGGCCCACGGGGGCGCAGTTCTTGAGGTGAGAGGCGGCCCGTGAGGCTGCCCCGTCCTGACCCGGCCGCGGCAGTGGCCCAGGAACACCCCTGCCACGGGGTAGAGCCCTCGCCTGTCCCAGCGGGACGGAACTGGAGCCTCAGTCCCCTTTCTCTGCCCTGTCCTGGACACACCAGTGTCTGTAGACCCAGGCAGCCTGAAGCTCGGGAGTCGCGCTGTGAACTGAGAGGAGGGAACCGAGGAGATGGAGCCCCGAAGGCCCCCTACTCCTGCACCCTTGGGGCCCCCGAGGGTTTAATCATTAAGCACTGAACGGGTGCCCAGCAAGGGCCCTCCAGCGTTGTCCCCAGGACGACAAGGCTAACAGCCTCACGGGCCACCGCGTCACGTCTCTGCAGCAGCCTGGGTTCTGCCTGGAGCTTTGCTGTCCCTCAGGCCCCGTGGGGTGTGGTTTTGGGGACCTCCACCGGGAGGCCCTGCTTTCCTTCCCCCCTCTATCCATCCCCCTGTCCCCACGCTGAGCAGTCGGTCACTGCTGTTTGCAAAGCAGCCTGCCCTGTGCTTTATCCTTGATTTTCTCTAAATGAATTCTCAAAGCCCCCCTCCGAAGGGAACGCCATTATGGCTGTCCGACACACGAGGAGGCTGAGGCTCAGGGAGGTTGGGTCACCTGTCTAGGATGTCACACGGGTTCTCGGAGTCAGGTCCGAGGGCGGGCTCATCCGGCCGAGCTGTGCGGCCGTGGCGGCAGAGGCCACTGTGAGGTGAGACTGAGCCCTGCCCTGCCCCGCGCTCCCGGCCTGGCGCAGCGGGCGGCCGTGGGCAGCCTCGAGGCCCAGACAGGTCTGGTCCGCTGCAGAGACCGGCAGGCGGGACCCCTCCGCCCCAGGCAGGAGCTGGCTGCCCTTCCCTCCCCGCCGGGCCACCTGCCCGTGCGAGCCGCCCGCCCCGTCTGCTCTGTCCCTGCCGCAGCCCTGTGATCGTGGAGATCCCCCACTTCGCCTCCCATGGCCGGGGGGACCGCGAGCTCGTGGTTCTGAGGAGTGAAAACGGCTCTGTGTGGAAGGAGCACAAGAGCCGCTACGGAGAGAGCTACCTGGAGCAGATCCTCAGCGGCCTGGACGAAGGTGCGCGCCCTCCTTCCTGACGGGGCTTCGCGGCTGCCCCTGTGGCGGGGCCTGCCTGGGGGCCCTTGCAGTTGGGAACTCCGAGAGGCAGGGAACGGCCCCAGCGGTCAAGCCTCGGGGCCAGGACGTGCAAGTGGCCGTCTCTCTGTGGGGCTGCCGGGCCTGCGCTCGGTGTGACAGGGTGGGGCCGCGTGTGGTTCCAGAGCTGGGGAGCCTGGAGGAGCTGGAGAAGAAGAGGGTCTGCCGCATCATCACCACCGACTTCCCGCTGTACTTCGTGGTCCTGTCTCGGCTCTGCCAGGACTGCGACACCGTCGGCCCCGAGGGCGGCGTGCTGAGGAGCAGGCTGGTGCCCCTGGTGCAGGCGACGTTCCCGGAAAACGCCGTCACTAAGAGGGTGAAGCTGGCTCTGCAGGTGAGGAGGCCCTCGTCCCTGCCAGGTGGGGGCGCGCAGAGCACGGGGCCCTGGGGGAGCCCCCCACACACCCCGCCTTCCCGGGCGGCCCTACGTGTCCGTGCGGTGCGCTGGAACACGCAGCAGGGATCTGACCCTGGAGCTCAGAGGGAAGCGCGGCAGGGAGGGGTGAGACAGCTGCTCCCCAAGTTGTGGGACACCCCGGATCACCTCAGCCTCGCCGCCTGGTGCACTCAGCACAGGGAATTCCCAGCCCGCCTGGGAGTGAGGCAGAGGGGGATGGGAGGAGGCCAGGAAAGAGCGCCAGGCCCTGCGCTCCGCCAGGCCGGCGTGTCTCCTGCAGAGCCCTTCTCTGTGCACCGGGGGCCCTCTCCTGCAGGGCCTGAGCGTCCTGCCTTTGGCATGTCGCAGGCCCAGCCTGTCCCGGATGAGCTAGTCACCAAACTCCTGGGCAACCAGGCCACCTTCAGCCCCATTGTCACCGTGGAGCCAAGGCGCCGGAAGTTCCACCGCCCCATCGGGCTCCGGATCCCGCTCCCTCCTTCGTGGACCGACAGCCCAAGGGACAGCGGGGAGGGGGACACCACCAGCCTGCGCCTGCTCTGCAGCGTCGTGGGTGAGGCCCCCTCAACCCCCTTTCCTGGGCCGCAGCGGCTCCTGCTGGAACAGGCTGGGGCAGCCGGGGAGGTGAAGCCGGCGGTCCCTGCCCCGGGGCGATGTGCCCTCCTGAGAGGCGGGGGTGCCCCTGAGTAAAAGTGAATGAAAGCCCACGCCCTGAGGAGGGTGTGTCAGCCTCCAGGGGGAGCCGCAGAGGGCGAGGGAACAGGCATGCTCAGGGCCGAGGACCAGGCAGGCCTCACCCAGCCGCGCCGCCTCTGCCCTGCACACCAGGGCCTAGTGTCTTGCTAAGCTCCGTGCCTGCATCCCGGACACTGTCCCCAGCCCCGTTTCTGCTGCTGTTCCAGGAGGAACAGAACAAGCCCAGTGGGAAGATATAACAGGAACCACTAAACTTGTGTATGCCAACGAGTGCGCCAACTTCACCACCAATGTCTCCGCCAGGTGAGACGAGCCCCGCCCCACCCAGCTCCGTGGGGGCCCGTGCTGCCCCTCCACATAGAAGTCTGCCGACCGCCGGTCGTGGCAGAGCAGCAGGGCGTGGCTCCCAGGTTGCTCCTGCCCAGACGGAAGTGACGATCTCCACTGGGCATTTGGGAACATACTTAGAGCCTGCCCTCTCTGCAGGTTTTGGCTGTCGGACTGTCCTCGGACTGCTGAGGCTGTGAACTTTGCCACCCTGCTGTACGAAGAGCTCACAGCAGTGCCCTACATGGCCAAGTTTGTCATTTTTGCCAAGATGAATGACCCCCGAGAAGGGCGCCTGCGCTGCTACTGTATGACGGACGATAAAGTGGACAAGACCCTGGAGCAGCACGAGAACTTCGTGGAGGTGGCCCGCAGCAGAGACATAGAGGTACGGCTCCGCGACCCCTCCACTGCCGGCACCTGCGGGCCTTCCTGGCTTCTCGCAGGAGTCGCCTCCGGAGCCAAGCGCTCACAGCTGTTTTCTCAGGAGCACCAGCCCAGTCGGTCGGGAGCACGTCCCTCTGCAGAGGAGGGCTCCTGGGCTGTGAGCCCATGGCTCTCGACCCCCTCTCGAGAAGCACCTTAGAGACGCTGCAGCCAGGCTGAGGGACCTCGCTGTGCAGGTCTCAGGGCAGGCAGCAGGCTGTGGCTCCATGGTCTGTGGCAGGAGTTGGCATTTGTGGCAGTTCTCGTGCGCTAGGCACTATTAGAAGTGTCTTTCCTTGCATGGTCTCATCTAATTCTCGTAACTGTCCGTTTTTGTCCCTGAGTTACATGCTAGGAAACGAGGCTGAGAGAGGTTAAGGAACTTGCCCAAGGTCACACAGCAAAGTGAAGGGTACAGATAGCGTTTGTTCAGGTTGCCTGTCCCCCGAGCCAGGGTTTCACGAGCCCCCACCCGGAAAGTAGGGGAGGAATGAAGGTGTGGCCACTAGACTCAACCTGACTGCTGATGCCACAAGCCCCTGGCCTGTTGGAGCTGGCAGAGAGCCTGGCTCAGAGTCGGTGCTGTCTTCCTGGGCAGGGCTGCAGGCCCAGTCAAGTGGACACAGGGCGGGGCCTCTGGAACCCTGATTCTGCCCTTCCAGGCACAAGACAAAGCAGATATTTGCTCTGGACTCAGTCTCCACACCTGTCCAATGGGTTAATGATGACGTCTCCGTTGAAAGCTGTACATGTACACAGTGGGGTTTGCTGTTACAGTGCACGGCGCGCGCTTTCCAGCACCTCTCACACACGAACCATCTTTGGACATACGTGAAAACGGGTCCAGGGTTTTTTCCAGAAGCCATATTACGGTACCCTAGTGGAGTTCTGGAGGACTCGCTAGCAATCCCGATCCGCCTCCAGGGCCGTTTGCAGATCCCTACTCGCCGTAGAGTCCCGAGCAGTAGGGAAGCACGCCGCCTTCACCACCACCTTGGAGACAGCTTTCTCCACAACACACGGTGTGGGGCTCAGGACTCACCCTGTGCCCCATGCGATGGCAGGGCTGTGTCTTGGGCAGGGACAGGCGGGGGCTTGCAGGCGGGATGTCTGGACGTTTCTGCCTGGCAAGCCGTATCTGCCTTTCCTCTCCTGCAGGTCTTGGAAGGAATGCCCCTCTTTGCGGAACTCTCTGGAAACCTGGTACCTGTCAAAAAAGCCGCCCAGCAGCGGAGCTTCCTCTTCCAGTCGTTCCGGGAGAACCGTCTGGCCATCCCCGTGAAGGTGCTGCGCGTGCGGACCTCTGCCCGGCTCCAGAGAGCTGGAGAGGCAGGACGCCCTCACCCACCGGCCTGGGGAAGCAGCCCTGAATCCTCCTTTCGTGTGGTTGACTGCAGGTGAGGGACAGCAGTCGCGAGCCAGGCGGGTCCCTGTCCTTTCTGCGCAAGGCGATGAAGTATGAGGACACGCAGCACATCCTCTGCCACCTGAACGTCACCATGCCCCCCTGCACCAAGGTGAGCTGCCCCTGACGGGGACCCATGGCGGAGACGGGTTCCCCAAAGGAGGTTCCCGGACAGACCCGAGGCCCGGCACTGCCGAGGGGCTTCTTCCTGTTGAAACGCTGCGTTCGAGTTCCCCGAGGCACAGGAAGGACGTTTGTTTTGTGCCCTGCCCCTTTCTGCAAAGCTCGCCCCAGCTGTGGCCACGGGGCACGAGGAACGAGTGTCGGCGTCAGGTGGCGACGGGCATGTTCACGCCGTGGGCCTGAGCCCTCTAGGAGCGATGGTCGGGAGACCCGCAGAGGTGCCCCCTCACTCCCCCTCTCGGGCTGAGTGCCGTGCGTGGCGCTGCTGCAGGTCCCAGACGCGTCGAGCGGGCTTCTGTTCACTCGCCGTCGTCCCGGGTGCCAGGCCCACGGAGGAGGGGTCCTGGTGTCCTCGGCCACCGCAGACTCTGGGTTTTTTAGCTCAGCCACAGAGTCTTGAGCAAGTGTGTCTTTCTGTCGCTACATGGGAGCGTGTCACAGTGACCACCTGTGCTGGGGGCCGGGGAGTGACATGTGTCGCCATGGTCTTTGTGAGTGTTATTTTGCTCTTGTTGCTGTTTTTTTTAATCATTAGCCTTCCGTGCTAAACTGGAAAAGAAGCCAGTTTACGTTCACGTGTCTGTGGCTCGGTCTCTTTTTGGGGATGAGGGTGAACCAACTTCTCTTTCAAAAGAGGACTTCGTGCAGCCTCGAGCAGGCATCCGGGCGCGTTTGCAAAGGGCCTTGGCGTGAAGCCTTAGGCCAGTGCCAGAAACAGGTCTTTGGAGCAGAAAGGAATCTAGAAAGAAAAACTTAGTTTTAAGTTCAAACTGCAGCTCCATTGCTTATTAGCTGGGTGACCTTGGGCAAGTCACTTAACCTCTCTGTGCCTCAGTTTCCTCATGGATGAAATGAGAGTAACGATAGTACCTACCTCGTAGGTTGTGAGCACTAAACAGGGCCTCGCACGTGAGAAGGTTGAGTTCGCCGTCATCGTCATGGTGATGGTGGCAAAGAATAAGGCACATGAGCGCCATCAGCGCCCTCCACTCCCACCTCCTCCCACACTCCTGCTCTTCGCGTTAATCTCCGCAGCAGAGATGCGGACTGTCCCCCAGGACCGTCCTCCCCACCCCGCAGCACAAGGCTCAGGCCGCCCTCTCCGAGAGCCCCAAGCCCAGAGCGCCCTTTTCCGTCTGTGTTCCGCAGGGCAGCGGCGCCGAAGACAGGAGGAGGACGCTGACGCCCCTGGCCCTGAGATACAGCGCCCTCAGCGAGTCCAGCCTGGGTACAGACCTCTTCGTGTGATACGCGCTCCCTTCCCGAGAGCGAGCTCACCCCCACCTGGCAAGGGCTTAGCCCACTCTGCGCGGCAGGGGGAGCCTGTGCTGGGTCCCCTGGCCCTGGCAGAGTGGCAGTCAGCCAGTGTCCACAGTGGCCCTGGGGCCTGAGCGCCCGTGGGGGCAACTCCTCAGGCCCGTCAGCTCCGTGCCCGGCTGCTAAGTGGCATCTCCTGCTTCTCCCAGGTTTTCTCAGCGGGACAGACCGTGCAGATATGAAGATGGCCATCATCTCAGAGCACCTCGGCCTCAGCTGGGCGGGTGAGTGTGGCGACTGGGGGCAGAGACGCGCTCTGTCTTGCTGCTCCCTCCTCCCTCCCTTCTCCAGCTGCTCACCCTCCTTGCACCGTCCGTGGTGCGTCTGACTGGTGCGTCTCAGGTGGTTCTGTCGTCCAGGCAACGCCATCGGGTGCCAAGGGAAGGGGGGCTCCCTCCCTCCTCCGCTCTGTCCGGTTTCCTTCCTAAGAATCAACTTTTGACATTATAGGGGACCTTAGAATTTGTGTAGTTCACCCCATTTTATAGATGTGAAAACTGAGATCCAACCAAATAGAGTGACTTTCTTGTGTAGCTAGTTAGTGACAGAGCCTAGAGAAGCAAACAAACATACAAGCAAACAGTGTGTCTCCCTACTGCCCGCCACTGCTTCTGCACTCTGCCCAGGGCCCGCTTTGTGGAGGAGGCGGCAGGCTCTGCCGCCGTGGGGGCGGGTCTCATTTGAGGTGCAGCAGGCAGGCACACAGAGTGAAAGCTCAGATGTGCTCTCCGCAGCCACAGCCCCAAACCCTCTCCGCTCTCCCCTTCCTTTCATCGGCTTGTCTGTGAATGGACCTTGCAGAGCATGGTCAGCACACTCAGAAACCTAGTCACTTCCTGAAAGGCAGCGTGACAGCAGCTCAGCCGTTCGGGGACTGTGCTCTCTTTAAGCCACGTCTGCTGCTGCTGCTGCTGCTTGGGGTGTGTGTGAACATGTGTGTGTGCAGGTGTGTGTGTGTGTATACAAGTGTGTGTGTATACTAGTATTTGTATACTAGTATGTGTATACAAGTATGTGTGTGTACGCAAGTGCGTGTGTATACAAGTGTGTGTATACAAGTGTGTGTATGCAAGTGCGTGTATATGCAAGTGCGTGTGTATACAAGTGTGTGTTTACAAGTATGTGTGTATACAAGTGCGTGTGTATACAAGTATGTGTGTGTATGCAAGTGTGTATGCAAGTGTTTGTGTAAAGTGTGTGTGTATACAAGTGTGTGTCTACAAGTATGTGTGTATATAAGTGTATACAAGTGCGTGTGTATACAAGTATGTGTGTATATGTGTGTATACTAGTGTGTGTATACAAGTGCGTGTATGCAAGTGCGTGTATGCAAGTGCGTGTGTATGCAAGTGTGTGTATACAAGTGTGTATACAAGTGCGTGTGTATACAAGTATGTGTGTGTATACAAGTGTGTGTATGCAAACGTGTATGTATGCAAATGCGTGTGTATACAAGTGTGTGTATACAAATGTGTGTGTATACAAGTATGTGTGTGTATACAAGTGTGTGTATACAAGTATGTGTGTGTATGCAAGTGTGTGTGTTGTGCATATTTAGGGATGTGTGTGTGCCTGTTTATGAAGATGTGTGCATGTGCATGTGTATGCAGGGGTGCGTGTGTATGCGTGTCGTGCGTGTTCAGGTGCGCGTGTGTGTATGTGGGGGTGCATGTGTGTCGTGTGTATTCAGGTGTGCGCGTGTGTATGCGGGGGTGCCTGTGTATGTGTGTCGTGTGTATTCAGGTGTGCGCGTGTGTATGCGGGGGTGCCTGTGTATGTGTGTTGTGCGTGTTCAGGTGTGCGCGAGTGTATGCGGGCGTGCCTGTGTATACGTGTCGTGTGTATTCAGGTGTGCATGTGTGTATGCAGGGGTGTGTGTGTATGCGTGTTGTGCGTATTCAGGTGTGCGCGTGTGCATGCGTGTGCGTGTCGTACACACGTCTTTGACCCTATCACTTTCTCTCTAGTTTTCCTCATCCTGGAAATTAGACTCTAATGCTGTCCTTCCTCCTAAAGCGCCTGTGCGAATAACCGTAAAGGTGACAGGAAGACGCTGAGGTTCTGTGACGGTGCCTTGCATGTAGACGGAACTTGCATTTTCCTTTTATATGTAAATAATGCCCCTCCCTGAAGAAAGGCAAATACAGAAATGCGCTTCTGTTGTAACTGATCCTGGGTGGCACGTGAGTGGCGTCCTGGTGCGGTGCAGTTGGCACTGGGGCGGGCACCTGCAGGCGCCGCTCCCTCCTGGCCCAGGACGCACTGGCTCTGTGAGCCTGGGCACGTTGCTGACCTTGCTGAGGGGCTCGTTCTCGTCGTCTCGTATTCGAAGTCAAGAGAGAGCGAGCGGGCACCGGTCCATTCGGGCGGGCGGGCGGTCGCTGTCATCAAGCATCCCCCTCTCGCCCTCCCCCGGTTTCTGGGGACACGAACACGAAGGTGTTCCCTGGTGAGAAGGAATACCGGATCCGGAGGGCGGCGGCGCTGTGCCCGCCCGCTCTGCAGAGCGCAGCCGGAGCGGGAGCCGCCGCTCGGCTCACACTGCACTTTGCTTGCAGAGTTGGCGCGGGAGCTGCAGTTCAGCGTGGAGGACGTCAACAGGATCCGCGTGGAAAACCCTAATTCCTTGCTGGAGCAGAGCGCAGCCTTGCTGAACCTCTGGGTCCTGCGTGAAGGCAAAGACGCCAAGAGTCAGTATTGGGCCCGGGGCCTTCTCTTCCCAGGGCCTATGCTGGGACCCGCTCCTACCACGGCGGCTCCTTGCGCCCTGGTCACGCTGTTGGCTTTTGGCATCGGCCCCTTTGTGTCTGTCTGTCTGCCACACCCCCCCACGGTCGATAGGTCTTCCACCCAACCCTGCCAGGAGACGTTACCAGAGAACTGTGGCCTAGGCCTTTGTAGCCTTGGGATCAGATAAAACCCTCGGTGACACATGTACACAGGGTACATGTCTTTTGTCTTTGGAGCTTCCTGCGGAATTTCTCAGCCGTAGAGCTGAGTCCCAGCGGGACGCGTTCTCAGTTCTCCCAGGAACACCTTCCTCCAGCCTGGAGGGAAGAGTCCTCTCTCTGCCTTCCGTGGCTCCTCCGCCGAATCGCGTTCAGACGCAGGAAGAGACAGAGTCCTTACGTTTGCATGTCAAGGCAGCCGCCAGGGCGCAGAGCTCCATGAGGACAGAGCCCGACAGTTACTGCCCTCAGCTGCCTGCGGTGTTCCTCTTGGACCAACAGAGCACTTCCTGTCTGTCTAGGCTTTTAAATCGCTGCTATTAGCGTTTGGGAGAGATCTGTGGGAATATAAAAAAGCGTTTTCCAAAGAGGCAGCTTGTTTTGATTCTGATAAAAGGGTGTTTCCACCTTCCAAAAAAATCCATCATCTCTCTCCTCCCTTTTTCCTCCCGGCCCCAATTTCAGAGCCGCCAGACACTCCCTGGCTGCCCTCGAATCTCAAGCAGGTCTTTTCCCAACAGTGGAGAACCTGTATGCGGCCCTGCGGAGCATCGACCGGAGCGAGATCGTGAACATGCTGGAGGGCCCTGGCAGGCAGGGCCGCAACCTGAAGCCAGACCGGCGGCACGCGGACCGCGACTACTCGCTGTCGCCCTCCCAGATGAATGGTGAGTGTGTCCGGGACAGATGCGGGCTGAGTGGGCACTGATGGCCACCTCCCACGATGTTTCACCCCCCAAAACCGTGTCCTCCTCTTCCCGGGGGAGCAGAGGTGAGCGAGAGAGACAGGCTGCCGTGCACGCGGGCGTCCTCCGCCGAGCCCTGCACCTCGTCCTCAGGGCCAGGGGCCCAGCAGGGCCCGGTGCAGCGGGAAAGAGCTGGGGCTGGTAGGCAGCCGGCCCGACCCCGGCCCCCTCCGGCTGCAGACTTGCTGTGTATCTTCGCAAGGCGTGGGTCCTCTGTGGGGCGTCAGTGTCCCCAACTGTGACGCAGTGTTTGAGCAGCAGTGGCCCAGAGATGCTCGCCCGGGTCTGATGCGGGTTAGCCGGACAGTGTTCACAGACCCCACATGGCGGCGTCTGGGCTGAGCAGTTTGCTTTCCTGTGGCCCAGTCTCTCCTGTCCTCCCCTCTCCTCTCGTCCCATCTCTCTCCCCTCATCCTTTCCTGACGTGCTCAGCGTGGCAGGGAGCCCTGGTGTGACCGGCCCAAGGATTGGGGCCCCAACCTTTGCCCCCAGCACCCGCAGCCACTCTGTGAGGACTGCTGTCCTCCAGGAAGGGCCAGTGGCTTGAGGGGACAGCGGAGGCACCCGGCCCCCGCCTCATCCGCCCACTTCCACCTGGGCCCAGCGCGGCGGGTGCCCTGCAGGGCTGAGCTGGACTCCTCCTCTTTGAAATCTGCAAGTTGCATTAGATCCCTAAGATTTCTTAAGACTTAAAAAAAAAGCAGTTCTATGACACATTTTTCTCTGGGGCCCGGAATGTCACCCTGGACCTCTGCATGGTGATGCTCACGCACCCCAAGCTCCAGTTTCAGTGGCCGCCCCACACGGTGGGAGAGTGGCTGATGGAATGTTCCAGGTGGGGCCTGTGCCTGCTGAACCCTCCTGTCCTCTGTCCCCTGTCTCCTGAAACGTGCCATCTAGCGCCCCGGGGTGCAGGGCTCATCTGCTGATCACGTCCTGTTGCCTTTCTCTTCTGCCTCTGACCTCATCATGACCTCTACTTTGCTCATGTTCTCGCACTGCTGTCTCCACTGTCTCCACCTTGGCCAGGTGCACGAGAGCCAGCAGCCCCCACGGAGCATGTCATTGGACCCCCGTCCCCCGTGCGTCGTGGCTGTGTCTGAGGGCACGTGTGTGTGCCTGCGTGTGTGCACGGGGTGTTGTGTGGCCCTGTGTGGTGCTGCCTACTGCGTGTGCTCTGCTCACTCGAGGTCCACCCTGTGGGGACGTCATCCTCGCCCCGCAGGGGACCTGGCTGTAGCACTGTGAGGGCTGCGCAGTCGGCCAGTCGAGGGAAGCTACAAACTTGGGGGAACCCCGGTGACAAAACCCTCCCCCCTTCCTGTGTGATCTGCGCTTCCTCAATGTGTCCACCCGCGGATTCAGTCGAGTCGCATCACGATTTTGTTTCTTCGTGTCCCACGTATGTGCCTACGGGGCAGCGAGCCGTCAGACTTGCACATGTGTGAATATTGCGGTACAGACCTAGGCGTTCGCGACCGTCCTCCCTGGCTGCAGAGCTCTCAGCCGTCAGGCCTAAATCCCCGCGTGGGACCGTGGCTCTGCGCGTCCGCGTGTGCCGCACAGGGCTGTTGCAGTTGGGCAGCCCATTTGGCAGATGCGTTTCAAGCATCATCACATGCCAGGTGCTGTTCTAGGCAGCAGAGAGAAATCTGTTCTCAAATAGCTGGAAACAAAACAAAACTCAACTCTGCCTTCACAAGAGAGCCAAAGGTCCACGTGACGCGGGAGGGATTTCTGCCATGTCCGGCGGGTTCCCGTGTACGGTGTGGGGGATGGGGCGCGAACGGTGCAGTGGGAGTGGGTGGCGTTTGACCAAAGGTTCGAAGGAGCCGTGTGCGAGTGTCAGGAGGGAGCATTCCAGAGCACAGAGCTCCGAAGGGGCCATGCCTGGAGTGACACAGGACACAGGGGCTGGGGCCGGGGCAGAGCGAGGGAGGGTGGCAGAGGCCCACGCTGTGGTCTGCCGTGAGGACACTCGGCCTGCCCTGGCAGGAAGTGGTGGGAAGCCGTCAGAGGGCGCTGGCAAAAGAAGGGTCTTAGTGGATTTTAGATGGCCACAGTCGAGTGCCCCGTACGTCCTGGTCCCGGCTGCTCCATCCGGCCTCCGCAGCCCCTCTGAGCCTCCTCCAGTGGGTCCCCGGCCGAAAGTTCAGTGCTTCCTCCTCCCCGCTGCCCCAGCAGACACTCAGGAACTGTTGCCAGCTTGGTCCAGAACTGACTTCTGTGTGGTTTTCCTGCACTCCTCCCTGTCCCCAGCACACTGCCCGTCACCTGGGTGCCTTCTGGTCTGGAGAGAAGGCGGCGGCTGGGCCAGAGGTCTCAGGGAGGGGAGGCGGCAGGCTCTGCAGTTCCTCAGGCTCTCTCTGGGGCAGGGCACGCGACAGCCCCACCGGGCCCGCCAGCCCTGTGCACCCATGCTTGCAGTCAGACCTGGGCTCCTGTGTGCTTTGCCCTGTTCCTCTGCGTGTCTGAGCCTGCTTCCGAAGCCCAGGGACTCAGGGCAGCGACGGGTGGCTCTGTGGCGGTGAGCCTGAGACAGCTGGGTTGTCAGGGCAGCAGAAGCCTGAGGGCTCTCTCTTTCCTCCGGCTCTTCTTGCCACCAGCACTGGGACTGGCCGGAGCAGAGGGGTTCAGGTCACAGGGCCAGCTTGCTTCTCCTGTATAGGAGGGAACTGCCCCAGGTCCTTGGAATAAACACAAAGAAAACATGGCCTATAAAGCAAAAAAAATAAATAAATAAAAAATGAAACGGACTTCTCACGTGAAAGGAGAAGACGGGTGTCTCACAGCCACGTCAGCCCGTGTGGTCTGATGAATTGGACACGTGAATGTCTGCGTGGAAACGAAATGTGTTTTTCCTGTCAGCTCTTAGTGACGGCAGGCTCCTGTCCGAGGCCAGGCTGTCTGTCGGCCCCTTTCGTTTGGTTTCTGCCGACATTAAACTAGCAGGACGTTTGTTACACCCGAGATGAGGAGGGACCCTGCGCGCACTGTGCCCAGGGCCACACATCTGGCTGCCTTTCACCTGATTCCTCCAACACGTCGCCCCGACGGGGAGCCTCTGGCTGAGGGGTGGCTGGTGAGCCGGGGTGGCAGGGCCGCACAAGCCGCCTGCCGACACAGACGCTCCGGCAGTCAGCCAGGGGTTCGCTGGGTCGCACCGTGGTCTGATCCATGAGTTCGTGCCGCTGTGCCTGGCTCTCGGGGAGCGTCACCCCCACGAGTGGCAGTCCCGGCCCTGCAGCCTTGGAGCCGAGACTGTGCGGGGCAGCGTCCTCTGGAGACCGAGAGGGAAGAGCCAAGCCTGCTCCCGCAGCACCGTCACCAGGGCGGGCCCAGGGCGAAGACAGCAGGGAGCCGCTGGCAGGGTCGTGCCTGTGCGCTCTTCGCCCTCACGTTTCCGTTTGGGTGAGACTCGTGAGACTCCGCTAAAAAGAATGCCACGCAAATGTCAAGGTGGAAGAGTCACAAAGGGTACCCAAGGGTGAGCCCTGGGCATCCCGTGGCCAGCAGGGCTTCCCACGAGTGACGGAATGTTCCCTGGCCGTGTCTGAACAGCTGTGTAAGACACATGCCACCGCTGGCCAAGCTGGGGTAACAGGGACTGGATATAGCTTCCTGATTGAAACAACCAAAACGTGCACCAAATGCATGACACGACAGTTCCCGAGACTTTGCATATCGGACAGCGAAGGACAGTGATCCCTGAGGCATGAGAAACTCGTGACGTGAGCCTTGCAATTGCCTAGTTTATTGTCTTTAAAGAGTTTCTAGGGAAGCCCAGGAAGACTCCCTGAGTTGAAGAGAAGTTGCTGGGAGTCCAGGGAGACCGAGGCAGCTTGAGTTCCCAAGATAGAGGACCAGAGAGGAGACAGTTACACAGACAGAAAAATCTGGAGACCTGAAGAGGGCCCCCCGTGAGTTTCAGCGAGTGTTAAGCAGCTGTTCCCAGCAACCAGACTGGTCGTGCACAGCCGGTGGTTGAGAGACACGGGAGGATCTTGCCTCAGAGATGGGGAATGATTGGCCCCCAGGCCTCAGTCCCACCAAATAAATTAAAAAGCAAAATGTAAAGGGATCAAGTCTTCCCAGTCCCTTAACTGCATAACAAAACAAAGCTCAAGAATATCTGTAGGAATACAGAAATACCCAGCACCCAATAAGGTAGAATTCACAATGTCCAGCATCTAATTAAAGATGACCAGACACACAAAGGCAGGAGAACGGGACCCCCATGAGGAGAAAAATCAATCCACTGAAACTGACCCAGGACTGACACTGAGGTTGGAATGAGCAGGCAAGGACGGCAAAAAGTTATGATAACTGTGTTTCGGATGTTCAGAAAGTTAAGTAGAGACATGGAAGGTATTTTTAAAAGGCCCAAGCTGATCTACAGATGAGACTAGAATGTGTAGGATAAAAAATACATTGGATGGGATTCAGCGTCAGAATTGCAGAAGAAAAGATCAGTGAATTTCATAACATAGCAATAGAAACTCTCCGAAATGAAATACAGATACAAAAGAAAAATTTCTAAAGCATCGTTGAGCTATAGGGCAATTCAAGTGACCTAGAACTTAGAGTGCCCAGCAGAGCAGAAGGGCAGGAAAAGTGCTTGAAAAATAACGGCCAGGGACTCGACGTGATTGCCCAGGGATGGGGGCAGAGGGAGAGGAGAGACAGCGGCATCAGTGCCACAGGCTGAGAAGCAGCAGCGTATCGGAGAGCTGGGGACACAGAGAGTGACGTCACAGAAGCCATCTGTCCCGTTGCTCTGGCTCCAGCAGATCCTTCGTAACTTGCCCAGTCGCCTTGGGAATGCACACAGCCTGGAATTAACGCTCCCCGCCATCATTCAGTGACAGCATCTTTAAAGTTATTCCACATTTTTCAAACATAATCAAGAGACCAGGGCACAG